ATGCTCTTCCTGCATGATTAATCATAACAGCCAAGTGAACAACTATCGAAGACATAGATAGACAAATATGCATTCCATCAAACTTCTTACATGTCAAGAGATATTTTGACACTTCTGAAACTCTCTACTACGATGTTCGAAGTTGATGCATAATTCGTCTTTGAGTATTATATCACTGCTTAAACTGTTCTATGCTCGTAGTGTAGACGAAAAAATGTTGTCATGCATGATTGTCATCAAATATAAACCACTTCACATATAACAATGAATAGGAACTCAATCGTTTTCTACGATACGAGTGATTATTTGCCAGTTGTATATCAATCATTTAATCTACTTACCAAAACTTTGTTTCATGATATTACAAAAGTTCACCTTTATGATTTGCAATTCAAAGAACTAACTAGGATATTTATCATACAGTTGTTTTATTGTAAAATTGAATTCGAAAAGATGTTCAAAAGAAAATCAGGCATCCTACACTTCTTTACATCAAACCAATGTCTTGAAGACTTTAGCCTGTTAGAGAAAATTTTTAGTCAAAGAATCAGTTTTAATGATAGATCGTGTTTTTTAAATATGAGTCGTCTGCGTATTGAGCTTACTGGAATTATTCGCAAAGTTTCTCGAAATCTATAGATAATCCTATAGGACTTAATCGAATACAATTTCGTGATTATTCGACATACTGTTTCATAAAATTGCGATTTGCACATAACCGTAAGAATCAGAATGAAAACAGTATTCCATAATTCGATTAATGAATAGAAAATTAACAATTAAAGTTTATCTAATACAAAGCTAGAATATTCTGAATACAAAGATGAAAGATCATGAAATTTTTGTTCAAATGTATACCACATTTCCGTATTTTTTCTAGGACTCAAACGAAAGACTTCGTTAGTTCTTGTTCGTATTCTTCTTTTTCTATCAACTTCGAGACTCATCTAATTTTGGGTATCAATATGTGAAAATGGTATAGTACAAATAAATGGCATGCGTAACATGACGCATGAGATAATAAAACATGATTATGATCGTCTTATCCTTGCATATGTTGGTAAGAAAGAAAAAAAGCCAATGCATTTTTTGATTGATACAATGATGTTATGCATCAATAAACATGTATGTTTACTTGGAAAAAAAGAAATACCAACTCGATATTAAAGTTTGGCCAATAAAAATATACACCGATAGACGCTTTTATATAAGTGTATGATCAAAATATCATTCAAACAAGAAGACTAGCAATGAATATCGATGGTATTGAGTGCGAACGTATTTGTAATATTGAAAAAGTTCTTTCAGAATTAGTCTGTTCAATCTGTTCATGTCTTTTATGGAAACCACAGTCCTGTGTATTTTGCCAGAATTCATTCTGTGAGGCTTGCATTAAACAAATGGCTTCAAGAGAATATTGGATGTCCACACGGATGCGAATCTTACGAAGAAAAACCTTGTCCACCAGTTGTTCGATGTCTTTTATCTGAAATATAGATTCGTTGTCAAAGTTGCCAGTATGGTTGTGCTGCTGTACTCTTTTATGATACTTTAGAAGCACATCAGTGAGAACAATGTAAATATTCTTGTAGTCGATGTCAGTATTGCAAGAGGCTCATGTTAGCAACTAAAATCAAAGTTCATGAAAAAGAATGTGGTCAACAACTTGGGAACTGTTCCATATGTAATTGCTTGGTGATCAACCGTTCACTAGCATATCATAGTTTGTACTGTTCGCTATCAAAAGTAAATGAAGTTCTGCAAGATTTGAATCAAAACTTGTCAGAGTCAAGCGATACATCTGAGTCGAATAATCAAACACAAAACATTCTGAAAGAGTGGATCGAAGCCATAAATTTGCTCGACGAACGTCGAATACTTATTGAGCATTATGGGAGTTTAGTTTGGTGGTGTCGTTTTTCGTCTTTAATGAGTCTTACTCTAAAGAATCCGCTCAACACTCCATATATCATCCTGGTAGCGTTAATGACTAGCTTTGATACTGTGATAGGTCTGTTGACCTTTGTGCTCATCTTCTGTTGCTTCCTAAGTATATGGTGGCACTCTTTCATTGTTGGTCTTGCAAAATTCTTACTTTGTCACTTACCATCAATTTTTAACTCAATTGATGACGCATACATTATTATATTTATTAGAATTGTTTTTCAAATTCATATCAATGCTGGCTTGTTAATTAGATGCATCAGTCAAAAACAAGTCCTCCTTCGGTACATAGGAATATTTTTTGTATGGAAAATTCCCTTGTTACTTATACGTTTTTACTTACCGCGAGTTCCTGCCTATGTAACTGTAATTATTCTTTCGTACGTGCAGTTTGCTACTTTTATCAGCAGTGAATTGGCTAAATTTCGTTTATTGGCATGGTGATGGGCAGAATTAACAAACTTTTCTATAATTCTAATTTTTTGTTTTATTGTATCAAGAGATTTCTAATGAAAATAAACGGGATATCGATTGAAAGGCTTTCTTAAACGAGTTTCAGTCAACAGCGAGCAGTTGTTCATTAAGCTATCACCTATTCTACCAAGACCACTCGAGCCAATTGTATAAATACCAAAATTTGAGCCTAAGAAAATTTTCTATGGTTAAGGTGTTGAAACTCTAAATAACTATAGCTAAAGTCAATGTTTCAGCGATGAAGAACTCATCTTTTGCGCAATTGGTGATTAGAAAGATGCGAATACAAAAAATACTTCCTCATTTTTATTTTTCTGATATTAATAGTCACTAATGAGTATCCTAGTTGAAAGATTAGTGTGACAGAAATGTTAAAGACTTGAAGGGTGACCGTCTAATTCGTGATATGTCACATTCAAATTCTTATGGAAAGAAATTGAGCAATTTGAAACTGCTTATGTTTGAAAATTATCGCAAGAAGATTCAGAAAATGATTTTCTAAATGTTTTGGTGCATCAGATGCAAGAACAATATTCAAAGAAAAGAATGATATTCCGTGCCTTGAAAAATATCTTCGATGTTATAAATAAAATGTATTACAACATTATCGGCTCTCAAGAAGCTAAGAAAGATGAATATTTCAATAATCTTGAGTACGCAAACGAATGCAACTTTCTTTTTAAAAGATTAAAAAATAACAAAAATCAAAAATGATTATTGATTTTCATTTACCTAGCTCATTATCAGTAACTGATGTCCTACTCAAGTGTTCATCTACAGATCGATAGATTTTGTTCTCATAATTTCATCCTTTTGAAGAGGTTCTCTAGGGTTCAATATATCTACTTGTCTAGTCATTAAGATTCAATGTATGAATAGCAATCGAAGTTGACTTCTTGAATCGCTTGTTTGATATTCTATGATACAACACGGGTTATTGCGAAGGAATCTTACATATTCCATTCATAGAACAGATTTTTAGCTTAGCTATCTGTTGAAACTGGTCTTCTGATCTGAATGCATCAACAATTACTACGTGTAACAACAATTTCAAAATGGTGCCGTTGTATAATATCCTAATCTTTGTTTGTTTTTCACCAAGTCTATCGACTTATCTGGCAATTGACAATGTGACATACAGCTGGAAATATTTGAATTCAATTTATCATGAGTATAGCAAGTAATAAGCAGAAAACTAGTCAGATAACCAAAATAATCTCATCGTCAATGGTTTCTATATTAAAAACAAAAAAAAAACCTTGTCTGTCAAATAGTATTTAATTCGTAAATTGCTTACTGTTCGAAAAGATTTTCCTTGCGTTTCAGTTGTTCAAGACTTTCTTTTCCGATTGATCTATAATCTTTGCGGTTTACAGGATAATCCACTTTCATCAATGTCATTTCCTAGCAGAAGAAAAATGTGAAATTCACAAAACAATACGATAGAAATAAGCAGAAGAGGCGAATTTTTAATTTCCAACGTCGTCTGAATCATTAACTCATTTTAACAAATAGCTAGCTGTTTTTTAAAAATGAAAGTACACTGGTTTAAATCTAGTGAATAGAATATAAAACTAAATTTGCACGGTTTATAGCTCAGAATCGATATTAGTAGAATGATTCAATGCAAAAACGTTTTGGTCATTAAGTTTGAAGAAACCGAAAAAATTAATAAATGCTGAAGCCAATTGATTCGAGAACATCAGATCTTTTCTGTTCCACACTTCAGCTTCATTACGAGTTGTTTAGACAAGCTTTTTCGATGAAATATTTCTTTAAAAACAAATATTTTCTTTCTTTTAAATTCAACAAAAAATATATTCAATTTTTTCTTTTTTCGTAATAAATAGATTTTTAAGATAAAATTTGTCATTGAATTTAAATCATTCTAGATATAAATGCGTTCCTGTATAGTTAAAAAATGCTTAGGCATTACGATGCAAACGACTAAGAAATAAATACATCATCTAAGCATTTCAGCACTAGTTTTAGCTAGAAAGTTGAAACTTCAAAAAATTAGAGATCTTAGATATATTTGTGTGATAAAAGTTCAGTCCTCTACATTAAGGAAAAGCATGGAAAATGTCATTAACAATTAGTCTTCAATCATTATGAGACAATCATCATCTACATATTATAACTTATAATTTTGAAAATATAATAAAAATTTGTCGTTTCTTTTACCTTTTGTTTTTTAATTATCTTTAAATTTTCGTACTAGAATTGGCTATTTCATACACAAGTTCTTTTTATGTTTGAGCTCTAATATCTCTCGATATCACTGATATATACATTGAGAATAATTCATTTTCTTTATAATGAACACAAGAATAAATAAAGCGAAAATAATGAGAAATCTTTAGAATCTGATGATAAAACAATATATTAGATTTTTACTTTAACTGAATACCTCATTTCACGATCTTTTTATCGTCTACAAAAACTGATATGAATAAAAAAAAAAAATTTCCAAAAAACGAAAACAAAACGTGAATATTTAAACGATATATATATGTATATATATACATAAAGAAGGCAACCAACAAAAAGAAAAAAAGAAACACTAGATTTTTAATAAATAATTATTTATGTTTATTAGCTTGAACTCGAGATGATGTTTTTCGACTATTCGTCGTATTTAAATCTGAATTAAGTTGTTGTCTTGCTTGCCCACATGCTTGTGCAAGATCAATATCTGTTAATGGAAGTTTATCCATTTTTATTAAGAGTACATCGAATGGTAAATTTTTTGCTGTTTGTTTAATAAGTGCAATAAGATCCATTGGATTATCACATTTATGTGCTTTAGTTACAATATCAGGTGGACCAACTTCAAGTGTTTCACGTACAATAACAAGAGCTAAACGAAATAATACTTTAACACCTTCACAAAAAAACATATCCCATATGCGAAATAACTGTGGTGCACGATAAGTTCGAGAAAATAATGTCATATACCAATCAAGTGTATATAATATTGGATCAACATCAAGTTTACGCTAGAAAATAGAAATATGTAATAAAGATTTAGAATTTTAAATAAGAGACATTATAATATAAATCATAATTTTGCAAGACTAAAAATATAATTCTTCGCTTGAGTTTTGTAATATCACTTTATTTTAGTCATAACAGAGAGATCTCAGGCCTAGAATTCTGGTCGGAACTTACGACTTCCCGCTTTAATATAGATCATTCATTTTATGATAAGATCTAAGGATGTTGCATAGGTTTTTGTAAACCCTCATACTGAAGAAAACTTGTGGTTTCTTTTTTGTAAAAAATTTGATTTCTAAAGTTTCTATGTTGACTTTTAGCACTTATGGACATGGCTATTGTGCATTGCCAAGTATTCCCACTCACATCCTCATATTCGGTCATTTGATTCATTCTAATCGGTGATCTACAACAAACTGCTGGGAGATTCGTTTTATATCTGTTTATGGAAGAAAGACTTGAATTAGAGTGTTGGGACTTACTTCACGTTTTTCTCACAAAAGAACTTTTTTATTTTGATGCTTCTACACATCCTAGACTTCTTCGTCATTTTGAAGATTAGAAAGTTGAGCTTGCCTTTTCTTCTTTGAAAATTTCCTCAAGATTAGATAGTTGGGGAAAAAAAATTTCTTTTAAGGTGCCACTCTTAAATAATTAATTTTTCGTTTCATAATGTTGAACTGTGTGTAAAGTAAATGTTTTCTAAAGAAAGTTGTTGCACCTTGCTATCGACAATATCCATGTTTTACGAAGTTTTTCAATCTCGTATGTTTTGATATGATCTTGTGTTATTTTTCATAATAGAATCAGATATTCTGAGTAGAGACGTACGGGACCGAAATTTTCTGATCCGGATCCGGTCGAATTCAAGTCCGAGGTAAACTGGATGGACTCTAGAGACGACCTGTAAAAGTGCTAGATAGTGTCATATTTTTATTATTTTCGAGATACTTGTCTTGTATTCACTTCACTTTATTTCTCATGCGAACATTAATAATTTAATTATGATTCTAGATAGAATTATTTCAACGAATAATCAAATACTTACCAGTAAACGATAACCTCTTTGGGAAATTCTTTGTATAAGTAATTCTGTAGCTAATGCATCTTCTTTAACAGCCATTAATCCATCACTAAAATATCCTTTAACATATTCTTCATTAATTTGAACAAATACCCAAAATGCTTGTTCAGGTGGGAAATGCATTAATAGAATAGCAGCAATTGGTGCTTGTGCTTGACAATAACCAACAGCTGGATCATGAACAGCATATGCTTTAAGAACATCAAATAAACTTTCTTGTCNGAGGGCGACTAACTTTGTTTTGCCGCAATACAAACATCGATAATCTGAAGATCATCGAATGATCTTCATTGATGGCTTAATTGACAGGAAGAATCACATAATGAGTTTTTGTGGCTCGATTCGCCAGAAAAAACCAATGATTTATTGATTAGAGTCTTTATTGAATATCAATGTGGAACAATCGATGAAAGAAAAGAACTTTGAAGCAAGATTGATGATACTATATCATGCCCGAGGTATCGATGTAGTTAATATTTTTCTCGATCAAATTCTTCATAAGCACGAATATCTGCAAGTTTTGTTTTGACTTGTGCGATAATCTGCTTTGGTACCAGAAAGAAAGGCAATAGTTTGTATGTTGCTTGTCAAATTAATCCAAAACGATTATCGATGTTTGTATTGCGGCAAAACAAAGTTAGTCGCCCTCGAATTGTTTTTTCTTATATCAAAGAAGAACAGAAAAGCTTTTGCGGCAGAATCAACACGCATCCATGAAGTTAAGCAGAAAAATGTTCACAGAAAGTGAATAAACCAAGAAAAACTGTCATATTCTGCTGTTGATAATGGCAGTGGAATGATATTTATGCATACCTTAATTCAATTGAGCATTTTTATTGTAAAAATTGAATAGTATGACGTTGATTTAAATATTCGAAAACGAATTAATTGCCATTCAAAAAGTCTCATATATTACTTCGGTTAATTATCGAATTGGTTCTCTTATCTTTGACTTTTGATCATATGTGTTATTCAACGGCTTCAAATAAACATCAAAGTAATCTGGTCTTGATGCAAATTATCAATTGAACAGAGAATTATTTTTCATTGTTGAACGATTCATTCATGATAATTTTTTTGTGCTCTTCCTACATGATTAGTCATAGCTGCTAAGTGAACAACTATCGAAGACATAGATAGACAAATATGCATTCCATCAAATTTCTTACATGTCAAGAAATATTTCGACACTTCTGAAACTCTCTACTACGATGTTCGGAGTTGATACATAATTTGTCTTGGAGTCTTATATCACTGCTTAAACTGTTCTATGCTTGTATTGTAAACGAGAAAATTTTGTCATGCATGATTGTCATCAAATATAAACCATCTCACATATAACAATAAATAAACACTCGCTCATTCTCTACGATACTAGTGATTGTTTGTCAGTCGTATATCAACCATTTAATCTACTTACCGAAACTTTGTTTCATGATATTACAGAATTACTAACTAGAACATTTATCATACAGTTGTTCGTTGTAAAATTGAATTCGAAAATATATTCAAAAGAAAATTAAACATCCTATACTTCTTTACATCAAACCAATGTCTTGAAGACTTTAGCCTGTTAGAGAAAATTTTTAAATTCAAATATGAATCGCCTGCGTATTGAACTTACTGGAATTGTTCGAAAAGTTTCTCGACATCTAGAGATAATCCAATAGAGCTTAATCGGATACAATTTCGTGATTATTCGACATACTATTTCATAAAATTTCGATTTGTACATAACCGTAAGAACCAGATTGAAAACAATATTCCTAAATTCGATTAATAAATAGAAAATAAACCATTAAAATTTATCTAATACAAAGCTCAAATATTCTGAATACAAAGATGGAAGATTATAAAATTTTCATTCAAATGTATACCACATTTCCGTATGTTATCTAGGACTCAAACGAAAGACTTCGTTAGATCTTGTTCGCATTCTTTTTTTTCTATCAACTTTGAGACTCATCTAATTTTGATAATGTCAATATGTGAAAATGGTATAGTACAGATGAATGACGCATGAGATAATAAAACATGATCATGATCGTCTTATCGTTACATATGTTGGTAAGAAAGGAAAAAGCCGATGCATTTTTTGATTGATACAACGATGTTATGCATCATTAAACATGCATATTTACTTGGAAAAAAAGAAATACCAACTCAATATTAAAGTTTGGCCAACAAAAATATACACCGATAGACGTGTTTATATAAGTGTATGATCAAAATATCATTCAAATAAGAAGACTATCAATGAATATCCATGGTATTGAGTGTGTACGTATTTGTAATATTAAAAACTTTCGTCAAGAATTAGTCTGTTCAATCTGTTCGTGTCTTTTATGGAAACCACAGTCCTGTGGATTTTGCCAGAATTCATTCTGCGAGGCTTGTATTAAAAAATGGCGTCAAGAGAATAATGGATGTCCACACGGATGCGAATCTTACGAAGAAAAACCTTGTCCACGAGCTATTCTATGGCTTTTATCTACAATATTGATTCGTTGTCAAAGTTTCCAGTATGGTTGTACTGCTGTACTCTTCTATGACACTTTAGAAGCACATCAGACAGACCAATGCAAATATCCTTGTAGTCGATGTCAGTATTGCAAGAGGCTCATGTTAGCAACTAAAATCAAAGTTCATGAAGAAGAATGTGGTGAACAACTTGGGAACTGTTCCACATGTAATCGATTGGTGATCAACCGTTCACTAGCATATCATAGTTTTTGGTGTTCGCTATCAAAATTTAGTGAAACTCTGCAAGCTTATAATCAGAACTTGTCAGAGTCTGGCGATACATCTGAGTCGAATACTCGAACACAAAACGCTTTGAAAACGTGGAGCGAAGTCCTTAATATCATTATTGAACGTCGAATAATTATGGAGCATTATTGGAGTTTAGTTTGGTGGCGTCGTTTTTCGTCTTTAATGAGTCTTACTCTAAAGAATCCGCTCAACACTCCATATATCATCCTGGTAGCGTTAGTGACTGGCTTTGATACTATGAAAGGTCTGTTGGCTTTTATGCCCATCTTCTATTTCTTCCTAAATATATGGTGGGACTCTTCCATTGTTAGTCTTACAAAATTCTTACATTGTCACTTACCATCAATTTTTAACTCGATTGATGACGCATACATTATTATATTTATTTGGATTGTTTTTCTCATTGTTGGCGTTTTCCGCATTCATATCAATGCTTGCTGGTTAATTAGATGTATCAGTCAAAAACAAGTTCTCCTTCGGTACATAGGAATATTTTTTGTATGGAAAATTACCTTAGTAGTTGTACGTTTTAGCTTACCGCGATCTCCTGCCTATATAACTGTAGGAGTTCTTTCGTGGATGTCCATTGCTACTTCTATCAGCACTGTATTGGCTAAATTTCGTTTATTGGCATGATGATAGACAGAATTAACAAAATTTTCTATAATTCTACTTTTTGTTTTATTGTATCAAGAGATTTTTAATGAAAATAAATGGGATATCGATTGAAAGGCTTTCTTAAACGAATTTCAGTCAACAGCGAACACTTGTTCATCATACTATCATCTATTCTACCAAGATTTGAGCCTGAGGAAATTTTCTATGGTTAAGATGTTGAAACTCTAAATAACTATAGCTAAAGTCAATGTTTCGGCGATGTATAACTCATCTTTTGCGCAATTGATGATCAGAAATATGTGAATACAAACAATATTTCCTCATTTTCATTTCTCTGATACTAATAGTCACTAATGAGTATGCTAGTTGAAAGATTAGTGTGACAGAAATGTTAAAGATTTGAGCCAATCTTCACCAGCTGAATCTAATTACTTACATTTTAAAATCATTTTATCATGTCACTAGTGACTGGTGAAGGGGATGACGGTCTAATTCGAGATATATCACATTCAAATTCTTTTGGAAAGAAATTGAGCAGTTTGAAACTACTTATGTTTGGAAATTATCGCAAGAAGATTCAGAAAATGATTTTCTAGATGTTTTGATGCATCAGATGCGAGAGCAATATTCAAAGAAATGAATGATATTCCGTGCCTTGAAAAATATCTTCGATGTTATAAATAAAATGTATTACAACATTATCGGCTCTCAAGAAGCTAAGAAAGGTGAATATTTCTGTAATCTTGAATACGCAAACGATAGCAACTTTCTTTTCACAAGATTAAAAAATAACAAAAATCAAAAATGACTATTGACTTTCATTTACCTAGCTCATTATCAGTAAATGATGTCCTACTCAAGTGTTCATCTACAGATCGACAGATTTTGTTCCCATAATTTCATCATTATGAAGACGTTCTCTAGGGTTCAATATATCTATTTGCCTAGTCATTACGATCCAATGTATGAATAACAATTGAAGACGACTTCTTGAATCGCTTGTTTGATATTCTATGATACAATACGAGTCATTATGAAAGAATCTTACATATTCCTTTCATAGAACAGATTTTTAGCTTAGCTATTTATTGAAACTGGTCAGCTGATCTGAATACATCAACAATCACTACGTGTAACGACAATTTTAAAATGGTGCCGTTGTTTAATAGCCTAATCTTTGTTTTTTTTCACCAAGTCTATCGACTTATCTGATAATTGACAATGTGACATACAGCAAATTTATCATGAGTATAGCAAGTAATAAGCAGAAAACTAGTCAGATAACCAAAATAATCTCATCATCAATGGTTCGTATATTAAAAACAAAAAAACACCTTATCTGTCAAATAGTATTTAATTCGTAAACTGCTTCCTGTTCGAAAAGATTTTCTTTGCGTTTCAGTTTTTCAAGACCTTCTTTTTCGACTGATCTGTAAACTTTGCGATTTACTATAAAGAAATAGGATAATCCACTTTCATCAATGTCATTTCCTAACAGAAAGAAAATGTGGAATTCACAAAACAATACGATAGAAATAAGCAGAAGAGGTGAATTTTTAATTCCCAACGTCATCTGAATCATTAACTCCTTTTAACAAATAACTAAGTAGTTCTTTCTTAAAAATGAGAGTGCACTAGTTTAAATCTAGTGAATAAAATATAAAACTAAATTTACACGGTTTACAGCTCAGAATCGATATTAGTAGAATGACTCAATACAAAAACGTTTCTGTCATTGAGTTTGAAGAAACCGAACAAATTAATAAATGCTGAAGTCAATAGATTCAAGAACATCATACTTTTTTTGTCTCATACTTCAGCTTCATTACGGATTGTTCAGGCAATCTTTTTCGATGAAATATTTATTTTAAAAAAATATTTTCTCTCTTTTAAATTTAATAAAAATTATATTCAATCTTTTCTTTTTTCGTAATTGATAGATATTTCAGATAAATTTGTCATTGAATTTGAATCATTTCAGATATAAATGTATTCCTGTATAGTAAAAAAATGCTTAAGCATTTAGCTAGAAAGTTGAAACTTCGAAAAATTCGAGATCTTAGTTAGATATAATATTTGTGTGATAAAATTTCAGCCCTCTACATTAAGGGAAAGCATGAAAAATGTCATTGACAATTCATCGTCAATGATTATGAGATAATCATCATCTACATTTTCTCCTACCTTTTGTTTTTTAATTATCTATAAATTTTCATATTAAAATTGGCTATTTCATGCGCAAGTTTTCTATGTTTGAGCTTTAATACCTCTCGATACCACTGATATATACATTGAGAATAATTCATTTTCTTTATAATGAACACAAGAATAAATAAAGCACAAATAATGAGAAATCTTTAGAATCTGATGATAAAACAATATATTTGAATTTTACTTTAACTGAATACCTCATTTCACGATCTTTTTATCGTCTACAAAAACTGATATGAATAAAAAAAAATTTCCAAAAACACGAAAACAAAACGTGAATATTTAAACGATATATATATGTATATATATACATTAAGAAGGCAACCAACAAAAAGAAACACTAGATTTTCAATAAATAATTATTTATGTTTATTAGGTTGAATTCGAGATGATGTCTTTCGACTATTCGTCGTATTTAAATCTGAATTAAGTTGTTGTCTTGCTTGTCCACATGCTTGTGCAAGATCAATATCTGTTAATGGAAGTTTATCCATTTTCATTAAAAGTACATCGAATGGTAAAGTTTTTGCTGTTTGTTTAATAAGTGCAATAAGATCCATTGGATTATCACATTTATGTGCTTTAGTTACAATATCAGGTGGACCAACGTCAAGTGTTTCACGTACAATAACAAGAGCTAAACGAAATAATACTTTAACACCTTCACAAAAAAACATATCCCATATGCGAAATAATTGTGGTGCACGATAAGTTCGAGAAAATAATGTCATATACCAATCAAGTGTATATAATATTGGATCAACATCAAGTTTACGCTACAAAAAATAGAAATAATAAAGATTTAGAATTTTAAATAAGAGAGATTGTAATATAAATCATAATTTTGCAAGACTAAAAATATAATTCTTTACTTGAGATTTGGGATATCACTTTATTTTAGTCATAACAGAGAGATCTCAGGCCTAGGATTCTGGTCGAAACTTACGACTTACCGCTTTAGAAGAAGTCAATTTTATGATTTATAGATCGTTTGATAGAGCAGAATCTCGACTACACTTGTGGTTTTTTTTGTAAAAATTGTGATTTTTAAAGTTTCGATGTTGACTTTTAGCACTTATGAACATTACTCGGAGATTCGTTTTATATCTGTTTATGGAAGAAAGATTTGAATTAGAGTGTTGGAACTTATTTCACGTTTTTCTCACCAAAGAACTTTTTATTTTGATGCTTCTACACATCCTATATTTCTCCGTCATTTTGAAGGTTAGAAAGTTGAGCTTGCTTTTTCTCCTTTGAAAATTTCTTCAAGATTAGATGGTTGGAAAAAGAATTTCTTTTAAGGTGCCACCCTTAAATAATTAACTTTTCGTTTCATAATGTTGAACTGAGTAAAGTAAAAGTTTTCTAAAGTTGTTGCACCTATGATCTTGTGTTATATTTAATAATAGAATTAGATATTATGAATAGAGACGTGCGGGATCGAAATTTTTTGATCCAGTAGAACCGTACTTTGATACTCTCAATGAAATTTTCTACTAGGAATTGAATAGTTGCCTTGAAGATACGAGAGACTTTTTTTCCAGCACTTTGTATTCACCAAGTTGAATTCGAGTCCGAGTAAACCGGATGGACTCTCGAGACTACCTATAAAAGTGCTTGGTAGTGTCATATTTTCATTATTTTCGAGATACTTGTCTTGTAGTCACTTCACTTTATTTCTCATGTCAACATTAGTTATGCGATTATGATTCTAAATAGAATTATTTCTAAGGATAAATAAATACTTACCAGTAAACGATAACCTCTTTGCGAAACTCGTTGTATAAGTAATTCTGTAGCTAATGCATCTTCTTTAACAGCCATTAATCCATCACTAAAATATCCTTTAACATATTCTTCATTAATTTGAACAAATACCCAAAATGCTTGTTCAGGTGGTAAATGCATTAATAGAATAGCAGCAATTGGTGCTTGTGCTTGACAATAACCAACAGCTGGATCATGAACAGCATATGCTTTAAGAACATCAAATAAACTTTCTTGTCTAAAATCATAATCAATAAATAAAATTAAAAATATTATTCAAAAATATATTTTTTTTTTACCCGCATCCATTATCTCTAAACATTTCATGATCAGGAAAAGATCTAGCAAGATCTTTTTTTATATCTTCAAGAACATTTAATGCTGGTGTTTGTGTTAAATATAAATTAAATACACTTCCTGTCGGACAATTTCTATCTGCATTTTCGTGTCGATATTTAGCTGCCGATAAATGATACCAACCTTGACCTCGTACAGATGGTGGTATACCTTTTCGACAACGTGTTTTAACTTTATCAAAACGTGATTCAATAAATGCAGACCATCGTGCAAACATATCAAGCCATTTTTGTTCACGACGACGAGCTACTGATGCTTTTACTGATTCTTCTGTTCTATAAAATAGAAATAAAACAATTTATAAGAAAGAAAAAACAAAATAAATTTCTTTTTTCTTACTCAAGTTCATTAGGTGAAACAAAAAATCCGTATGTATTCGGTACTTCATCACGTTGTTGTTCACTATTAAGAGAATAATTAACCATTGTTTTATGCTAAATAAGACATCATCTAAAATTATAGACATTATCATTTCTGATCTGTACAGACAACATTATTAAAATATATAATATAAGATTACTACAGAAACTAAATACAAAGAAGAAAAAAAAAACGAAAGCAACAATATATATAAATATATGCATATAAAATAAAAACAAAAAACAATAATTTGAGACTCGTTTTTTTAATGTTGTTCACTGTCATTGTCATCAACTAATAATAAATCTTTTTCATCATTATTATTATTACTATCCAATAGAACTGTTTCTGGACTTGGATTTGATTGAGTATGATAATATGCATTTAAATGAAAGTCTTCATTTTCATATGGAACTAATTCATCAACTATTGATCGAAAAGATATACGATCACCGGGTGCAAACGTCCAACAAGCACGCATTAATTTATGTCTAAATGAAAATAAAACAACAAAAACAAATCCATAAATATATTTTTTAAGAAAATGATTAATTTCTCTTACAATATTTCTGGACAATTTGGTGGACGTTCAAGTGTTATATTTCCATATCGAACATAATGTNCAGATTCATATCGTAATGCATCATCAATTGGCTAAAAAATATCAAAAATATTTTTCATAATAAAAAATAATACGAAGAACAAACAAACTTTTTTCTTATGAATATCTTCTTGACTTCGATTAACAACACCAATAATACCTAATTTAACCGGAATAACACGTCCACATAGAACATCATATGCATCTGTTCCACGATCCATTAAATCAAGTTTTGTTAAAACAACTAATGTTCTTTGTCCTATGAATTATAGAATAAAACTTATAAAAATAACTATATAAAAAATGGGTTAATAAACATTATTATTATGGAAACTTCAGATTAGTCTACTTTTTCTTCTCGTAGTTAGATCTAATCGATTATTTCATGATTCTTGACTACTCTTTCTCTCGAAGCTATAAAATCAGAAACCGGCAGCGTTAGTCACAATTATTGAAATTTCTCTGTTGTGTGTAAACTAGAGACATACAGGGCCAAGTCATAGAAGAAAATAGAAAAAAAAATTCTGATTTCAATCGATTTTATTCTGAGTTTTCATCAAGATTTTTTACATGGCATTTTCCACCTTGCCACGGATAGTAATTAGAAATCTTTATTATGCAAACGTTTTAGAAGTTTGATTCAGCCAGTAAACAAAAACAGAGCATCTATTCGATTCAATGATATTTCTCATTCATAAATAAGGTCCAATGCACTGTCAATGCAATAAATGGTATGATTAACTGTGTACTGATATTTACGATTTTTTTTCATTACAGGTATCATAAAGATCATTATGAACTTCCATAAAACTTAATTTAAGTCAATAATCATCTAATATATTTACAATTTATCATGAACAAGCACCTACAATTATTTGGTGATTGATGAAAAACAACAACATTACAACAAGGTTAAGATTAGTTATAACATAAGATAGTGGTAATGATAATGGTCAAGTAACATAAGGTCATGGTAATGGTAAGCATAAATCAACATCAGATCGTGGCAAAGGAATAACGGTATTATTCAAATAAAATAAACTCAACATCATCAACAAAAATTCATATATCTCGTCAATGTCCGAAAAAATAGGACGAAATATCGATAAAAAGGAAAAAACAAATCTATTGAAAATAGGGAAAATTTAATAAAAAAAAATTTTAATTATTTTATTTTATGATCTCATTCTCAATAAAAGCAAATATGCGACTTCTTCTTGATAATCAGATAATGAATTCGATCTCATCTAAATCTTATGATTCTTGCACATCTTCAGAATATTTTTTTTTCAACAGACATTATAATCAGCAGATGCAAATCTCTACTCTGAACTTCAAAAAAAGAATTCATTCTTTGATGATCCTTCTACCTTATGAATCAATATATCATTGACACTGAAGCATAGTACCATTACAAACTTCAGTCAATTCATCTCTTGTAGAAATTAGATATCTCTTTTAGTTTTAGATACTTTTTTATCGAAATATTAATTATAATTGTAAAATACATATTCGAACTGATATTTTTCACATGAATCCAAATGTTTTATATTATCTTTTGTATTGATTCGAATACATGTTATTAGATTTTATTTATATCAAAAAACATATATTATTATTGAACATATGAATAAGTATGAAGTAAACAACAATAATAAAACAAAAATTAATCGAATAAGTATAAAATAAAGTATTCTTGAATAATAACAATAAAGATGAGTGCTTGAATAAGAAAGATAGGAAGAATGAATACAAAACAATGATTAACTGAATAATAACAAAATCAAATATTCTTGACTAATTATAAAATGAAGAATAAGATAACAGTGATTAATTGAATATAACAACGTGACAAATTCTTGAATAAATATGAAATGAAGTATTGATCATGAACATTTCATATTATGAAGAGAATATACGTACTTTTACATTATTTTCTTGATAATGAAGAAAACTGGAAGCACGGCTATGATTGGACAACACATCCATATGGATTTATTCATCAAATTCAAAGTTTTCGAAATCAGTTTATTTTCTTTACCACCAGCATCATCTATTAATAACTGAAGACATGCTCTTAAGTCTTTTACTTCTTCTGCCAAAGACGAACATGTTTTTTCAAATGTTTCACGTTTTTGTTTTTCTTCTTCAAGAGACGAACATGTTTCTTCTAATTTTTTTTCAAATTCTTCACGTTTTTGTTTTTCTTCTGCGGATGTTTTTTCAAATGTTTCACGTTTTTGTTTTTCTTCTTCAAGAGACGAACATGTTTCTTGTAATTTTTTTTCAAATGTTTCATGTTTTCGTTTTTCTTCTGTATAAGATGTTTCCTTCTGTTTTATTAAGTCTTGTAAATCATTAACAATTACATTTAAATCTTTTGGTTGACTTTGTATTATTGAAGTCTATAACAGTTAAAATCATTTTTAGTAATCATAGAACAAACTTTCCCTACCATCGTAAACACAACTAAGTTCACAAATCAAGTTCAAAAAGTTATTTATGAATCTAACCAAGCAACAAGATATTGAAGAAATCAGATATAGAATTAGATAAATTAACAACTTACATTTTCTCTTGGTCGACACATGAACTTTGCAGACAAAAAGATGTATTCACTTTAACAAATTTAGTCATCTCTATATATATGTGGTGAATATAGACGACGAAGAAACAACGTAAGGAAAAAAATTTAGACGAACATTATTCTAAGAACAACGAATCATCATTTTCGTTCCGAAAGATTAGCTGGAAAAATACGGAACATCGGTGACATCTATACGAAGAAAAGTTATATCTCAATGATTCTTTTAACGTAAAAAACTTATTGAAGTGTGATGGTGGAACTATTCATCTTCTTCAACTTGATTAAAATATGAAAACAGTGCTTACAACAGCTGAAAGAATGGGTCTGCCAATAATAATTGACATTTAAAATATTCATTTGATAATAAATTCTACAGAAGTTGATGCTGCTGATTGGGTACGATGATCAAAATCGAGCACATTATGTTCAACCAGCATTAGTTGACGCTGAAGTGTAATTGAAAATTGTTTTAAAATTCATTGTAAGTATTTCTTTTAGTTAACATTAAGTGTTGGTGCTCCGAAAGAAGCATTATGATTCGTCGTTACTGATTCTGTTGGTCCATTTTGTTTTCAATTAATTTAAAATCTGTTTCATTATTAGCTGATATAATTCACTGTGGAGCATTTTTAGGTGGAATGGGTGCATTTAAGCCTAGATCATAAGTAATTTAATTTGTTTTACTTCACAATTAATGTTATTTCATAGGAACTATGGATCCACTATAGATATACGTAAAATGACTTAAGCTCAATGTCGATAAGTATTATGGCTTCATGGTAATAAACGACATGTAATACAAACTGGTACAATAAATGTATTTATGTGTTTAAAAAATATAAAAAAAAGGTGGTATTCAATTAGTTACATTACTTTTAAGTGGACTTATTTTACCTGATGTTACTCGTCAAAGTGTACTAGATCTTGAACATAGATGAGTAGAAATATACTGACTCATCTCTAAAAGAATTCTTTATTGTTTTTTGTTTTAGAAAGATTTACATGTTTCAGAGCAAGAAATTACAACGAATAAACTTTTATGTTTACTCTACTAGCTGTTACAAATGTTTAGTGGTGGTACACCATGTATTGTTAGCTCTGTTGAGTGAATTATTTATGAAGGAAAAACATGTGATTTTAGCTACAGTGAACTTATTTCATATAATTATTTCATTTGAATGATTAATGTAAAAGCTTGATTAAAAAATTGATTTTATATGACCTTCATTTTACCTTTTTAACTGTTCAATAAACTGAATTTTTAGACGATGTAAACCGTTTCCTTTTCAATCTAATATACTTGCTAGCATTTTGTTAAAATTCAGTTGCTATAACTGTTACAGAATGACCAGATCGTTTTTTATCATTATTGATCTCTCTTTTAATATTCTCAATTAGCATGCTGGTTTGAGATATTTCAACATTCAATACAAAATATCCAAAATCTTTTCTTTCTTCGTAACTGATGAACATTTAAGATAAGATTTGTCATTAAGTTTGAATTATTCTAGTTATAAATGTGTTCCTGTATATTAAAAGAAAATTCTTAGCCATTATGATGCGATCGACTAAGAAAGAATGATATCATAAAATCAAAATTTCACCTTAAGGACAAGTGTGAAAAATCTCATTGACAATTGATTATCAGTTATTATAAGACATCCTTTATCTACATGTGAAAACCGATAATTTTGAAAGTAAAATCAAAATTGATTGTTTCTCTTACGTTTTGTTTTTTTAATTATTAATGCGTTAATATCTCTCGATATTACTGATATAGAATGCATTTAGAATAATTCATTTTCTTTACAATGAACACAAGAATAAATAAATGGCAAACAATGATTAGAATCTGATAATAAAACAATATATTTAAATTTTACTTTAAGTGAATATCTCATTTCACGATCTTTTATCGTCTACAAAAACTGACATGAATAAAAAAACAATTTACAAAAACAAAAACAAAAAGTGAATATTTAAACGATATATATATATATATACATAAAGAAGGCAACCAACAAAAAGAAAAAAGAAACACGAGATTTTTAATAAATAATTATTTATGTTTATTAGCTTGTGCTCGAGATGATGTTTTTCGATTATTCGTCCTATTCAAATCTGAATTAAGTCACTGTCTTGCTTGTCCACATGCTTGTGCAAGATCAATATCTGTTAATGGAAGTTTATCCATTTTAGTTAAAATTACATCGAATGGTAAACTTTTTGCTGTTTGTTTAATAAGTACAATACGATCCATTGCATTATCACATTTATGTGCTTTAGTTACAATATCAGGTGGACCAACATCAAGTGTCTCACGTACAATAACAAGAGCTAAACGAAATAATACTTTAACACCTTCACAGAAAAACATATCTCATATACGAAATAGTTGTGGTGCTCGATAAGTTCGAGAAAATAATGTCATATACCAATCAAGTTTATATGATATTGAATCAACATCAAGTTTACGCTAGAAAATAGAAATCATAAAGATCGTAATATATATCATAATTGTGTAAGACTAAGAATACAATCCTTCGCTTGAGATTTGGAATGTTTATTATAACATAGCACTTAGAATATAGGTCTACAATTCTGGTGGGAGCTTACGGCTCCTCTCTCAGAAAAAATATAGAATATTGCATAGGTTTATCTAAACCCTCATACTAAAGAAAATAATGTTTTTTTTTTAATTTTGATTTTAAAAGTTTTTCAAGTTTCTATATTCACTTTTGGTAGTGATGAATATGGATATCATGTGTTGCTAAGTATGATAAATGCATACAACATTCAAACCTGAAAAATCATAGAATGGAAATGAAAGTGTGGTTGAACTGGAGACTCACTCTCACACTCACACCCTTATATATGGTCATTTGGTTCGTTCTAATTGGTGACCTATAACAAATTGCTCGAAGATTCGTTTTATATCTGTTTATGGGAGGAAAGACTTGAATTAAAGTGTTCGAACTTATTTCACTTTTTTCTCACAAAAACAATTTTCATTTTGATGTTTCTGTGTGTCCTAGGTACCTGCGTCTTTTTTAACGCTAGAAAGTTGGGTTTGTTTTCAAAATGAAAACAAAAATCAGTTGTACAACTTAACGTTATATCAGAGGAACTTTTGAGAAAAACAAAGTAGGAGACATGGGCTATCAGGTCTTGTTAAATTGTAGCGTCATTTACTATGAGATGCCTAACTCGAGATATATCTATTCTGAAAATTTCTTGTGAGGTATAAATCGAAAGTTTTCTAAAGAAAGTCGCTGTAACTTGATATCGACAATATATGTGTTTTACGGAGTTTTTCGATCATATATGTTGTGATATGATTTTTTCTTATATATAATAATAGAATCAGAACTAAAGATTATAGTTAAATATTCTATGGTTGTAAGCGAGTTATCTGATAAATCATCATTCTGAACATAATTCAAGAATGATGACTAGATCACAATGGGTTTCTAGTCTGGGACCAACCCAACCTGCTTTAGAGACGAGCTACATTTATTGAGATTATGACCGGAACCGGTGAAAGGAAGTTTACCTGGATCGGAACCAAAAAAAACTTGGTCCCCTACATCTCTAGTATCGAACTGTCATATTTTCATTATTCTCGAGATACTCGTCTTACAGTCACTTGAGTTAATTTCTCATGTCAACATCAATTATTCGATTATGATTCTAGATAGAAAAACTAACAAGTCTATTGGCTAATATAATAAATATTTTACAACTTATAATAAATAATTTTTCGAATCTCTCATATTTCTAAGGATAAATGAATATTTACCAGTAAACGATAACCTCTTTGTGAAACTCTTTGTATAAGTAATTCTGTAGCTAATGCATCCTCTTTAACAGCCATTAATCCATCACTAAAATATCCTTTAACATATTCCTCATTAATTTGAACAAATACCCAAAATGCTTGTTCAGGTGGTAAATGCATTAATAAAATAACAGCAATTGGTGCTTGTGCTTGACAATAACCAACAGCTGGATCATGAACAGCATATGCCTTAAGAACATCAAATAAACTTTCTTGTCTAAAATCATAATCAATAAATAAATTAGAAATATTATTCAAAAACATGTTCTTTTTTTTTTACCCGCATCCATTATCTCTAAACATCTCATGATCAGGAAAAGATCTAGCAAGATCTTGTTTTATATCTTCAAGAACATTTAATGCTGGTGTTTGTGCTAAATATAAATTAAATACACTTCCTGTTGGACAATTGCTATCTGCATTTTCATGTCGATATTTTGCTGCTGATAAATGATACCAACCTTGACCACGTGCAGATGGTGGTATACCTTTTCGACAACGTGTTTTAACTTTATCAAAACGTGATTCAATAAATGAAGACCATCGTGCAAATATATCAAGCCATTTTTGTTCACGACGACGAGCTACTGATGCTTTTACTGATTCTTCTGTTCTATAAAAATAGGACCAAAACAATACATAACAAAAAAAAAACGAACTTTTTTTTTTCGTTTTCTTACTCAAGTTCATTAGCTGAAACAAAAAATGCATATGTATTCGGTACTTCATCACGTTGTTGTTCACTATTAAGAGAATAATTAACCATTGTTTTATTCTAAATTAGACATCATCTAAAATTATAGACACTATAATTTCTTATTTGTACAAACAACATTATTAAAAATATATAATGTAAGATTAATACAGAAACTACATACAAAAAGAAAAACGAAAGAAAACAATACATAAATATATGCATATCAATAAAAATAAAAAATAAAAACAACAATTTGAGACTCATTTTTTTAATACTGTTCACTGTCATTGTCATCAACTAATAATAAATCTTTTTCATTATTATTATTATTATTATTATTATCATTATCATTATTATTCAATAAAACTGTTTGTAAGCTTGGATTTGATTGAGTATGATAATATGAATTTAAATGAAAATCTTCATTTTCATATGGAACTAATTCATCAACTATTGATCGAAAAGATATACGATCACCGGGTGCAAATGTCCAACAAGCACGCATTAATTTATGTCTAAATGAAAAAATAAATACAAAGAAAAACATAAATAAATTTTCCAAAAAAAAAGTTAATTTTTCTTACAATATTTCTGGACAATTTAATGGACGTTCAAGTGTTATATTTCCATATCGAACATAATGTACAACTTCTTCATTACCATAACCTTGATAAGGTTGTTCAGTTAATGTTACTATTTCCCATAGAAGAACATCAAATGACCTGACAAAAAAATCTATCATACAAAAAATAAGAAAAACATGAACTTCGAAATTTTACCAAACATCAGATATTGTATCAAAACGTCCATCTCTTAAACTTTCTGGTGCCATCCAACGAATAGGAAGAAAACTTCGACCACCACGTCGATAATAATCAGCTTCATAGATATCATGTGTTAGTCCAAAATCTATATAAATAAATATTTCATAAGTTTAAATTTTTCATACGAACTATTCTATGTAAATAAGTTCTTTTGAGTTGATTTGAGTTTTCAAAAAAGAAATTTTTTTTTCTTCACAGCTCAGCTTTAAGAACTATATTCAGTATACATGTCCTTAGAAAGATGCATATTAACGCTCTTGAGAACAGTACAATTCTTATATATAATAAATCAAGAATATGAAAATATCCATCTTTCATTTGACTTTGATTCTTTACAAAGGTTATTTTTCTGAATAAGTTCTTTTAGCATAAATATATGTAAAATGGTAGTTGTAAGAGTTGTCTACAAAATGTACTATTTAATTTTCAACAATGCTACTTCAATGTAGACTTCTTTTTAAAATAAAATTTAAGAAGTGACTGTTGATACTTCTTTTTATGTCACATCAGTAACCCTAGTTTTTCATCGAGATCTTCTCTGAACAAAAGTCTCTCACATTGATTTTTTCAGCGTATCTAGAAAACAAGAACTCTGTTCAACTTTTGAGGGAGATGTGAACTTATTCATATAAAATTATTTTCGTGTATTTGCTTAATTTGTTCCTTGTGTTAGATTCGTGTCAGGAAGCTGATCTATCGATGTACCACGTCTAGTATATATGTCGTATCGAAGTTACACCGGTCGACAAAGTTATAACTTTGTTAACAATTTTGTCGAAGTTATAACTTTGACAGAGAAAATTGACGAAGTTATAACTTCGACAAGAAATTTTGTCGAAGTTACAACTTTGACAGAAAAAATAGACCAAGTTACAACTTCGACAAGATATTTTGTCGAAGTTATTTTTTACACATTTATTAATAAATAATTTTATTAAATTGAATATCCGACTACTGAATCTATGACCAAAACTAAACATTTTCTAACAAATGTATAATTATTTAACAAATTTGTTAAATAATTATACATTTGTTAGAAAATGTTTAGTTTTGGTCATAGATTCAGTAGTNGAATTCCCGATAGGTACTTTCGTCTAATAAAATTTGTGGATTTTCTGTCGGTGGCATGTCGGTTAATTTATATTATCGAAATGGACGAAAGATTCTGAATAAATGAAGCAAAGAAGACAATCTTTTTTCTTTTTCAAAACAACGTCAATCATTATAATTCTTCTTTTCCATAAAATGAATAATGAAAATGTTACTCCCATTTTTCTGTCGTCCAATTATTCTGGCACATATGATCATAAACCGTTGACAAATGAAGAGGTTTTTAAACTTACGGATCAACAAGAAGTATCATTTATGATCCAACTCTCTTTAGCATTGAAGTATCGAGTTCTTCCTTGTACAGTAAATCAAAATATCCATTGTGCTTCCAGCGACTATTATAATACTTCCACGTTCAATTCGCTTGGTCAGTTCTAGCTTTCATGTACGCGAGGACAACAATGGTCTTCAAAAAGAAAACAAGAAGGAATGTATTATACCACAAGGTTAGTCACTTAATTTTGATCTATTTTCAACGAAAATAATTGAACTTTTGTTTGTCAAACAGTGTTCTATACTTTATCATCAATGAATATAAAATTGACCCAACTAGTTTTATTTACGATTGGAGTTATGATACATCGGATAATAGTTCTCTTATCGCCAATATTTATATTGATTTGGGAAATTATCTAGCAGGTAAAAACGAATTAATTTTCTCTGATAAGAACGTGTACTTTCTGAAACTTGTTTTTACATTTGTCAATTCTTAAATAAGATTTTAATTTGTTTCTCGATTCGATATTTTCCAGTTAGAGAATTGGAGCTTTAGAGTTAGAAATTTATTTCTATGAAGAATAATTCCTAATGAGCATTTGACAAAAAAAATGATAAAATTCTACAATAGAGATACTACTACCTGTTAGAAGAAATAATAATTAAAATTTTCCTATGAAACTAAACTTTCAATGTCTCACTACCGATTAAAAGTATATCAATTTTTATGAATATCGAGAATGAAGAATGACAGGAGAACGATTTAAAAAAAATTTTACATTGTTTTGATATTTTAGTGCAATTCTCTGGTGGTTCTATAAGTCATACAAGTATAGACAATCCCAATGATCTCGAACCAGATCAAGAAGAAAAGACCTTTCATTACTTTTCTACTGCTAAGGTAAGTATTTGTTGTAAATATGATATATTAGATTTATTTTCATAATCGAATTTAATTTGACATAAAGTCCATAAACGTTTTTATAGATTAAAATATCTCTATAATTATCTCTAACTAAAAAATATATGTTTTAATATACCAATTTAAAAAGCTATAATTTGACTGATTCCTCTAGTTTCCCGACTATCTATAAAAGGGATTATGCTTGATTTGAAAATAAGATTTTATTGAAAGGGTCAGACTTTTTAAAATCTTTTCAATTCGGTTGAAGTATATTTTAAGTGTAGATCTTTCGAACAAACTAATCAGAAATAAATCATCATCTATAATTATTTCCAGTAGACCCAAATCTTAGTTGAAAACTGATTTTCTATTTAGAGTTTAATTATATTCAAAGAAATATTTCATCAATCAACATCATTATTTTTATTTTCAACATATCAGTTTTCATGAAGTATCTTTTACATTATTCTGAAAATTCTCAAGAAATTTTTCTATGCAGTCAAAAATCGATCTTTAATGAAAATCTATTTGTTTACTATTCAGATCTTGCATGTTCCACAAACAACAGGTCGCCCGAGAACACTTCTTGAACAATTGTCAAAATTCAAACTATTTCCGATCACTGTGGCTACCTTACAAATGGTTTGTCATGATGCTCAAAATGGTTTCTACACTTCATCCATTCGTATGAAACAGCCTCACATTAACGATCTTAAACTTCACTATGGTGATGATTTTGAAATTATTCATGAACAACTTCTCAAAACACTACAAGAAAAAGATTCTTTGGGTATTACTTTTCTTCGTGGTCCTGCAGGTACTGACAAGATTTACTATTTGCGATATTTGATCAATGAAATCAAAGAAAAAAGTTTGATCTATGTTCCACCTGATCTTATCAACTTAAGTCAATTGATGATCGATATGGATATTTATTCTTTTCTCTCTAAATCTTCTTACTTGTTTTTGAAGAGTTTATTGTTAGAATTTTCATCAAGAATTTTCAGGTGGTAATACACAATTTTCTTTTTTTTTCTCACAATTTCCTTTCGAATCAATCTCAACTGAGAACTAAATTTATTTTTATATTATATTGCCGGTATTCTTTTACGTCTATACTTTCATCAATGGAAAGAAACAAAGGATTACCATTTTTTCTTAAATTTCTCAGAGAGATTCTAGATTGAAGACATTAATATCTAGTTCATTATGAGTCTATGAGAAACCTATTGCGCACAACACCATATTTTAGTTTTCTTTTCTCATAGTATAGTATCATCTAATAATTTAAGAGAATACCTCTCAGACACGAACAAACTGATATTTTTTTTTTGGTTCTAGGAAATGACGAAGCCTGGTTTCTTACCCTTTCTCAGACAACATCTGAACTCAATTCTTATCATCGAAGATGCTGAGAATATTATTCGCGATTGAATACAAGACAGCATTCTACCGAATCAGGCTGTGGCTAATTTACTTAATCTCTGTGATGGTCTTCTTGGTGATGCCATATATCAACAGATTATTTGTACGTTCAATTGTGATGTCAAGAGCATCGATCCTGCTCTTATGCGTGATGGACGACTAGTAGTCGAACAAAAGTTTGATAAGCTGAGTGTAGAGACTGCCCGTCGTATGTGCGCAGAGTTAGGTATATCCGACAATGGCGAGGATATTCATGAACCAATCTCTTTAACCGAGATCTATGCACGAAAGAATGATACAGTGGCAAATTTGGCAAATGGCTTTGGAAATAGTCACGCAACAATGAAGAATAAACGACCATTGAAAAAAAGAAATGAGAAAACTGATCTTTTTCTTGGTTTTTATTCTTTGTTAATTTACAAAAACTATAAAGGAATGAATAAAATATCCAATATCAATTTCTTTACTCATCTTTAATTGAATTTTTACGAAAGAAATGTGTTATTCAGAACTGAGGGTGGCAGTAGGTGTGTGATACGGGTGCGGGTAAAGAAGAGATCTGTATTTCATCCACACCCACACTAGAGTTTCGATTATTCGTCGTATTTCAATCCGAATTAAGTTATTGTCTTGCTTGTCCACATGCTTGTGCAAGATCAATATCTCTTAATGGAAGTTTATCCGTTTTAATTTTCAGTTACAATATCAGGTGGACCAACTTCAAGTGTTTCACGTACAATAACAAGAGCTAAACCACATACGAAATAATTGTGGTGCACGATAAGTTCAAAAAAATAATGTCATATACCAATCAAGTGTATATAAAATTGGATCAACGTTAAATTTACACTAGAAAATAAAAATGATAAAGATCATGATATAAATCATAATTTTGCAAGACTGAGAATACAATCTTTCGCTTGAAATTTGGAATGTTCATTATAACATAGCACTTAAAATAGTTGATAAGTAAAAGATCCAATAAAAAAAATAACATGTTGGAAGATCACTTTATTTTAGCCATAACAGAGCAATCTTAAGTCTACGATTTTGGTGGGAACTTATGGCTTCTCTCTCAAAAAAACTAGAATAGTGATTTTATGATGAGATTTAAGATTATTGCATAGGCTTTTCTAAGCCTTCATACTGAAGAAAATAATGTTTGATTTTTTTTTTTAAATTTTGATTTTTGGCAGTGATGAAATACATACAACATTCAAACCCGAAAAAAACCGCAGAATGGAATGAAAGTATGGATGAACTAGAGACTTACGCTTACACCCACATGCTTATATGCAGTTATCTGATTTGTTTTCGTCGGTGATCTATTAAATTGTTACACCATTTACTATGAGGTGCCTAATTCGAAATATACCAATACTAAAAATTTCATTAAGATCGTATGGTCGAAAAAAAAACATTTCTTGTGAGGTTCAAATTAAAAATTTTTTAAAGAAAGTTGTTGCAACTTGAGATCGACAATATACATGTTCTACGGAGTTTCTTAATCTTGTATGTTTTGATATGATTTTGTGTTATATATAATAATAGAATCAAATGTTTCAATTGGATATGTGTGGGACCAGGAGACTACGAGAAAAAAGATTTCCCAATCGAAACTAAAGATTATAGTTAAATATTCTATGGTTTTAAGCAAGTTATCTGATAAATCATCAATCAGAACAAAATTCGAGAATGATGACTAGAGCCCATTGGGCACAAAATTTTCGGTTCCGAACTCGAATCCGGTGGACCTGTACTTTGATATTCTCAATGAAATTTTCTAATTGGAATCGAATAGTTGCTCCGAAGATACGAGATACTCACTACATATTTCTCAGACAACTAGAGTACATCGAGTTTCTAGTCCGAGACCAACCCGACGTACTATAGAGACAAAACTTGGTTCTGCACATCTCTAGTACCGAGCTGTCATCTTTTCATTATTCTAGAGATACTCGTCTTCTACTCATTTCACTTAATTTCTCATGTCAACATTAATTATTCGATTATAATTCTAGATAGAAAAAACAACAAGTCTATTTGCTAATCTAATAAGTATTTTACAGCTTATGATGAATAATTTTTCGAATCTCTCTTATTTCTAAGAATAAATAAATACTTACCAGTAAACGATAACCTCTTTGTGAAACTCTTTGCATAAGTAAGTAATTTTGTAGCTAATGTATCCTCTTTAACTGCCAGTAATCCATCACTAAAATATCCTTTAACGTATTCTTCATTAATTTGAACAAATACCCAAAATGCTTGTTCAGGTTGTAAATGTATTAATAGAATAACAGCAATCGGTGCTTGTGCTTGACAATAACCAACAGCCGGATCATGAACAGCATATGCTTTAAGAACATCAAATAAACTTTCTTGTCTAAAATCATAATCAATAACTAAATTAACAATATTATTCTAAAATATGTTCTTTTTTTATCCGCATCCATTATCTCTAAACATTTCATGATCAGGAAAAGATCTAGCAAGATCTTTGTTTAAATCTTCAAGAACATTTATTGCTGATGTTTGTGTTAAATATAAATTAAATACACTTCCTGTTGGACAATTTCTATCTGCATTTTCATGTCGATATATTGCTGCCGATAAATGATACCAACCTTGATCACGTACAGATGGTGGTATACATTTTCGACAACGTGTTTTCACTTTATCAAAATATGATTCAATAAATGAAGACCATCGTGCAAACATATCAAGCCATTTTTGTCCACGACGACGAGCTACTGATGCTTTTACTGATTCTTCTATTCTATAAAATAGGAACAACACACTGCGTAACAAAAAAAAACGAACTTCTTTTCTTCTTTTTCTTACTCAAGCTCATTAGGTGAAACAAAAAATCCATATGTATTCGATACTTCATCACGTTGTTGTTCACTATTAAGAGAATAATTAATTATTGTTTTATTTTAAATTGGACATCATCTAAAATTATAGACACTGTCGTTTCTGATTTGTACAAACAGCATTATTAAAATATATAATATAAGATTACCAAAGAAGCTGCATACAAAGGAAAACGAAAGCAACAATATATAAATATCTGCATATCAAATAAAAAAACAACAATTTGAGACTCATTTTTTAATGTTGTTCATTGTCATTGTCATTGTCATCAACTAATAATAATCCTTTTTCATCATCATTATTATTAATATCCAATAGAACTGTTGATGAACTTGAATTTGATTAAGTATGATAATATGCACTTAGATGAAAATCTTCATTTCCATATGAAACTAATTCATCAACTATTAATCGAACATATATACCATCACCGGATGCAAATGTCCAACAAGCACGCATTAATTTATTTCTAAATGAAAACAAAACAAAAAGAAAAATATCAATAAATTCTTCAAGGAAATTATTAATTTTTCTTACAATATTTCTGGACAATTTGGTGGACATTCAACTGTTATATTTTCATATCGAACATAATGTACAACTTCTTCATTACCACAACCTTGATAAGTTTGTTCAGCTAATGTTGCTATTTCTCATAGAAGAACACCAAATGACCTGACAAAAAATAAAATCTATCATTAAAAAACAAGAAAAACATGAACTTTGAATTTTTGTCAAACATCAGATAGCCACCCAACGAATAGGAAGAAAACTTCTACCATCATGTCGATAATAATCAGTTTCATCGATATCACGTGTTAGTCCAAAATCTATATAAATAAATATTTTATTAGTTTAAATTTTTCATACGAACTATTCTATATAAATAAGTTCTTTTGAGCTAATTTGAGTTTTCAAAAAAACAATTGTTGTTTGCACAGCTCATTGTTAAGAACTGTATTCAGGATGGATGTCCTCAGAGAGATGCATATTAACGTTCTTGAGAACAGTACAATTCTTATATATATATAATAAATTGAAAATAGGCAATACCCATCTTTCATTTGACTTTCATCCTTTACAAAGGTTATTTTTTTGCATAAGCTCTTTTAGCATAGATGTATGTAAAAAAGTTGACTATTTCAATTGACTATTAATTTAAAATGAATTAGCAAATATCTCTTTAACCATAAGAGAAAACATCGGAGAACTATTGGATACATTCTTCAGCGTGAATTGCATGTTTGGTGAATTTTTCAGCAAAAGTAGACTTCAAAAATCTTACTTCTGAAAAATCTGTTATCTAGAAATGCTATCAAGTTCCGAAATAAAAAGTTTTGTTTCACTATCATCTAGAGATTTTCAAGAGTATTTTTTTAGTTTCTATATTTATACTACGTCACGTTGCCTATGAAAACTCAATCGATTTTTTCAGAAAAAAAAATGTTAGCATGCTCGAAAAAGCTTTAGATAAAGGTTTGGCAGCTGTAAGAGTTGTCTATAAAATGTACTATTTAGTTTTCAACAATGCTACCTCAATGTAGACTTCTTCTTAAATTGAAACGTAAGAAGTGATTCATGATGCTTCTTTTTATATCACATCACTAACCATAGTTTTTCACTGATAGCTCGTCTGAACAAAAGTCTCTCACATTGATTTTTTCAACGTAGCTAGAGAACAAGAACTCTGTTCAATTTTTTTATGCGAATGTGGATTTATTCAAATAAAATTATTTTCTTGTATTTATTTTATTTTGTTTCTTATGTTAGATTCATGTCACGAGTCCCATCTATCGATGTACCACGCCTATTATATATACTATTAAAATCAACTTTTTCAATCAATGAAACATGTACAAAAAAAGAGATAATAATAACAATTAAGCGTGTTAAAGCTTAGTGAACACAGTTTTTTCATTTACTTATCGAATAATTAATGCAATGTCAAAAAACTTAATCTTAAAAAAAAAATGAATTCATTTCACATTACAGTTGTTCATCGTATTGTTCTAGAACAGCATAAGTTTGTACAGAATTTCATTGTCCACAAGAGACTGAATAATTGATAACACATATTTAACTTCGTTTTCATGCATTCATATAAAATTTATTAAATTATTTCTATTTTTTGTTTCTTTTGAAATACATATTTTAATTTTACCTCCAACTTTGCACGTATGATTTTCATTAGCAAGACAATTTCTTGCAGCTAAATCTCTATGGATAAATTTTTGATCCGATAAATAATACATTCCATCAGCAACATTCAATGTTATAAAAAAAAATAAAAATTTCTTAATCTTTAAAAAACAAACATTAAATAAGTATATTTCATCCATTAAGATCACTTTGTCGAAGTCGATAAAGATAATTTTTTAAATCTGCATTTACCATTAATTCCATAACAACAAAAGGTGGTCGAATACGTGAACATATTCCATATAGTTGAGTAACATGATAACATTGAAATTGTCTATGAAAAATAAGGAAAAAAATTAGAAGAATTTCTTGTTTTCTTTGTGTATAGTCTCAACAAACTTCATTATTGATGTTTCTTGTAATAAATAAGTTGGATGTGTTGTTTCAACCTTTGAAAAAAAATCCAGTTGATTTTATTCTAAAAAAGAATCTAATTGTTTATTTTAATTCCACATGGTTTTAATATTCCATCTTGTCACTTCAAAACACCTTGATAAACTTGACCAAAATAAGCTTGACTAATAAATTTATATAATGTAACAGAATCTTCATCAATTTCTCATTGATCAGGTGTATACAATTCTAAATATAATATTAAAAAACAAACAATGAATCAAACAAAGGAAAAGTTAACAAACCATAATTTGAGTTTTTTCAAATCGAAGCTTTTTGATCACTTCGACCATATTTATAATAATAAAGTAATGCACCAAGTAGAAGTAATAGTAAAAGTGTAGTTAAACTAGTTATTAATATAAATACTAATAAATGATTTTGTCGAGCTCATCATCCAGACAATCTTCTGCATCTAGTAACTTTTTCATGAAATAGACATTGTTTATTTTCCCAATCTCCAATTAGGATTATGACCGTGAAACATCGGAAAAAACAAGTTTCTTTTTTTTCTCAATATGAAAATCGTTGTCCATCATGTTTTTGTATGAAAACAAGAACGAAGAAAGTTTGATATTAATCATGAAGAATTATATCTGACAGTCAATTGTTGTTCAAAAATTAGTGGATGATAGGTGAGTACACTGGTTTGCAGATGAAAGCCTTATAAAAATTTCGTTTAATGGACGTAATTTGTTGACTTTAAATAGGTGTGCAGCAGAGACCGTCATCAGGGCAGGGCTGCCCTGCCCGTCCTGTCCTGCAGGGCGAATATTTGTTTTTTGCCCTGACCTGTTTGCCCTGCAGGGCAATCAGAGCAGGGCGCAGGGCAGGACAGGGCAAATTCTTTTGCCCTGATGATTTTTGTGCTCCCACATGAATCAGAACTTTTTTGTAACAACACTTGTTTTTCTATTTCCTACGATTGCTTTCTATGAATGCAAACAAAACAACGATGAGAGAAAAATAGATAGATAACTTATATTAATGCAAAACCAAGTTATGTTTATTTCTTCCCTTAATTTCATTTTTTTTCTAAGGAACTCTACCAAATTTCACGAGCAATCTCGCACCAGGATACCATGTATATGTGATTTTGTAGAGCAAGATGCGGTGCATCGAGTATATATCGCAAAAAAAGTTTTCTTCAGATGTTTATGTCATAAGGGTCTTCACCCTGGTTATGGCATGCGAGGGATATTGTATGGCAATCATAGATATTATGACCCACAGAATGTTTGAAAATAAGCCAATAAAAATTCTGTTTTTTAAACTCTTTCCACTATAGTTCTAGGTATTCTTCAATTTACTATATACACTTGTTTTTCACGTCACTTTCTTCATACATAAAGATTTTCTTAATAAACGTTCAATATTGTTAAAAGATCGTCAATGTATTAGCTCACTGAAGTGAAAAAATAGACCTATTTACAGGATAGACTAGCAAGCAGACAATGAATCCTTGCTCTAACCAACAAAATTAACTGTGAAACATATACAGCTGGATAGTGAGCAGTTTTTGAGAAACGTTTATGCTGGTGCTCATATGTTTTATGGCATTGAGATGCCTACATGGGAATGNGTAAGAGAGGAGAGAAGTTCCAGTTTTGACTCCTATACTCAAGGATGCTCTGAGATCGCTAGGATTGGGAAGTGCATGAGTTAAAAGACCTATTGAAAGATTTTTTTATATAGTGGACCAGATCTTGGGCGAAAGTTGAGCGTTTTCTGGGAATCGGTGAGCAAAAAACAATAAATTGTTGAAACTTCGCTGGGGAAAAATGAAAATTTCTTAAGACAGGAGGAAGGTGATCCTCCTCTAGAACAGCCCTTTTAAGTCGTATTCGACAAAAATTTTCGATTTTATAATCTAGTCAGCAGTGTCACATATCCAGGAAATCGGAGATGCTGGAGAAATGTAGGAAGATGCGGCATCTTCCTTCTGGGTCCTAGGCTAAAAATCAATAACAAATTTTCATTGGGAGATGCCGCATCTCCTGGAGAGATTTCGTATCTCCAAGCACTTCTCGCTGGGAGATACGGCATCTCCCGATGAAAATTTGTTATTGATTTTTAGCCTAGGACCCAGACGGAAGATGCCACAGCTCCAAGCACATCTCCCCAGGAGACGCAGCATCTCTACGCATATATCTCTCCAGCGACAATAAGGGAGGAAACACACACAGCCATATCTCAAATGTGTGGGTGAGGGAGAAAACATGAACACACAAAGCTATATCCATAATGTAATCCTCTGTTAATAGTCAGTTTGGCATCTCCCTGCACTTCTTCCGCATCCCCAATTTCCTAGATATGTGACATCTCTCAATCTAGTATATTATTCTAAAAATTTTTCATTTATAATTTATTCAGATGCTTTTTTACTGTGAAAAATTAACAAGACAGAAGAAAGCTACTGCTATGCGTCAACTGGAATTAGTCGTACCAGAATGCCATAAGGTATAACGGAAGCACGAATATCAGTATAATATTCAATCTTATCCTTTGGAATAATATTACAAATTTTTGCTTCATGTCGAGCATTACCAGTAGCTCCTTGTATTTTGTATGTACCAGGTTTTTGTTTACATTGTAGTACGATTTTAGCTATAAAACGGTCATCATTGGAAGCAACAAAATCAATTGGTCTCGCATAAGCATCTCTTGCTGAATATTTTATTGTTGGTGATGTATATAAGTAAGGACATCTACAATTCAACTGATTACCATTTTCAAATGTATCACCTTTTAAAAGAAATTGTCCATGTTTTATAATCGATAGAGCTGAATCAATATTTGTACCATGATAAGTATTATGCCATGTTTTCCATATATCTTCAACTTGTGCTTTTACATTATCGACATGTAAACCAAAACGAACCCAACCACGTGGAATAACATATGGAGAATTAGCAATTAAATATGAATCACATTTTTTTTCTGAATAACATCGAGAACAATAACAACGATCATAAAGATTATTAAAATATATTTTAGGCCAAGAAAGACTTGAAATAAATTCTCTACAAAGTAATTCATATGAACATAATCGACGATCAAATTGAGTAGTTAACTCTTTCGTTCTATGTATTGAAGTTTGAGAAGACGATCTTTCCAAAGTTGAACGAATATTGTATTTGTCATTTTTATTAAAAGATTTGTTTTCATATTTGTAACGTTCGAAGTTCATCTTGAATTTGAATTTGTGTTATCCTGTGTTGCTGTAAAGAAACGTAATGGCAAAAAAAAAGAGATTTTTTTTCATTTGTGTTCTGTCTGTCATGAACTGTTTTACTCTGACTCTTTTTCTCAACAAGTTGGAAAAAAACATATATATATTTGTACACAGAAAAAAGGCTAAAGTCAACATTACTCATAAGTAATCGCAAAAGTGAAGTTATTACGATCATAAAATTATTCACATGCAATTAATACTCATTTTAAAGGTGTATAAGATTACGCCTCGTTATAATAAATGAACTACTTCCGTATTGCATTTCTGGAGACGAATATTGGGAAAATGTGTCCAATATAAATGTGATTAGCAACAGAAACTACATTGTGTTTCGCATTTTAATATCGCATGGATTGCGCTTACGGAGGTTTTTAAACATTGATTTTATAATTATTCTCATTTGCATATAAAAAACATTCAAATTATATATTTTTGTTTTTAAGATACGTTTTTCATTGATTATTCTTTAACAGTGGCGTAGCCAGGAATTTTTGAGTCATGGGCAATTCATCAGCCGAACTATTTTGAGTTACGGGCAGCTAAGGGCAACCATTATGATTTCAAAAATATCTATGGACAATAACTGTTCAAGCACTGCATTGCTCAATAAATCCATGGGCAATAACTTTCGGAGCTATGGGCAATTGCCCAATGGCCCTACCCCTGGCTACGCCACTGTTCTTTAATGCTTAAGAGTACGAAATGTAATTAAAATAATGAACTCTTAATATTTATTAGCATGAATCACGTTATAATAAATTTTAATTAATTATTTTAAAATTATTCGTTGAGTAAAAGATATTAAAAGAAAAAAAAACAATTTTTTATCGTATAGAAATAACTTTCTCCAGTTCTTTTTTTTTCTTGCGAACAGAATGACAAGAATCTTCGAAATATAATGTTAATAGGAAAAGTGTGATGAACTAGTTCATGTTTCATAGTATTGATTAAAAAAAGAGATTTATCTTTGTTATATTAAGCAGTTGACCATTCAAATTTATTGTAATTTGAGTTTTGCCTTCTTTATATTCAGCACTTTGATAAAAGAAAAAAAAGCCCAGATATAATATGAAATAAAGAAAGCACCAATAGAATAACTCCGAGTTTTGATTATAAACGTTTCTTTCAACTTAACAAAAAGCTATATACTATACATAGTAAGATAAAATGTAGTTAGTATTTGATAAAATAAGTGCATAGAAATATCGTGGAAAAAAATAATTTTCTTATAGGTTTTCGTTGACTTCAATTATTATAAATCGTCTTGTGTGTTCATGTTCATTTGTATATATCATACTTTTGTTTTCTTTTTCTACTTCTCTAATAAAGCACGTTTAGATAGTCTGATGTTCAAAGAGAATAGTTTTCATGATATAAATTTTTCCATTCAAATATAGTACAAACGATGAATTCAATAGAAGAAAAACAATGTAATCAATCGATTGAGATAGATATCGAACGTAGACTTACTAAGAAAGAATATACAAATTTCTGCTAATTTTATGATATAAATAGAGGTTTGAATTGTTTTACATCATATTCAAAAACTTCATATAAGTTAAAATTGAGCTGAACATTGATATTTTAATGATTACGTTAAAGTAAAGCTCCATATACTCTTACCGAATATTGAAGCGTTTTCAACGCTCATGTAAAAGTTTCGTAAGTGATTTCATTTATTTGTTTTTTTTTCTCTTGTATTAGAATTCTAAATCATATTATCCAGGTTATGAGTCGCTAAGTCACAATGCCAGTAATTCTATTTTGTTCTCTACTGTGTGTATTTTTTGTGAAACTTTCAGTACAAATTATTTTTTTTCTTAAATTAATAGAATATCGTTTAAGTCTTAGCCTAGTGATAATTTTGTTCTCAAATATATTATTAATATTCTTCATATGAGGTCAATGAGTTAATTAGTTGTTTGATCCATTTTAAATTGTAAGACTCTTTATGTTATTAATCATAAACCATTTCATTTTCCTTTAATGGAAGCCTATTTGTTATTTGCTTAATTTTTCTTACTGTGTATGTATACATTAATCATATAAACTTCATTTTCAATGATCGCAAAAGATTTTAGATTAACACAAAAATTTTCTTCAGAAATTAACACTTATCTTTTTTGTCAGAAATATAAATATCAATTTTGCTTTAACTGTTTCATATAAGAATCTTTTTTAAACTTTCTTATTTACTAAACTTCTATGATCTCTTGAAGACATTTTAACACTTACATTAGCATTATAATTAGAAGCGAAAACGATTCATTGACAACATCGACTAGTAGATTATAATATGTTTCATATGTTTATTTTATAGTTTTTTTCTATTTAAAAGAAAATAATGACTTAGCTAAGATTCTCACTAAGAGAGTATTGTCTTGTTTTCTAACAACCATTATTTTCCATATTTCTCTTCATATTCAATGAAGAATAGTTGGCAGTAATTAAACATATTAAAATATATTTAATTGTTTACTCAATTAAGAATTTTATTTGATATTTCAAATAAATAATACAAATGTTAATTAATTTTGTACTCAATATATGTTTCCAAAATGATTTTGACACAATCAACAATCTTAAGTTTTTTCACTTAAAAAAAAGTCAATTGTCGTTAGAACTATCGAAATGTTTGACACGTCCCTTTTTTTTTTGATGATTTTTGTCATCACTTGCTTGAAGAATATGCTGTTTTTAGGATAAGTAGGAACTCTTTTTTGTTTTTTCTCTGTTTACATTCTTTTAATTGCACATCCTACAGTTTTCGAAAGAACTTCATTATAATCAATTGGTTTTTTTGAAAAAGTATGTCAAAATGCAGGACACGAGCCCCGTCTTTTTTTTTTAATCAAGGCTTGTTACTATTATATTAAAACATTATTTTTTGAAAGCTTTTTCAAAACATTTAACATTTCATCTCTAAAAAACAAAGAATAAAAGAAAAACGACTCTGTTTTGCTCAATATCTTGGCATATTTATTCAAACGACAAAAGTTGTTAGTTCAGTTCCTGTGAGATTAAAACATAAAACACGATGTAGTTGCTGTTATTAATTAGAGAGAAACGGTTTTATTCTATCTATTTTGGGACGCATTTCTTTATCATTCTTTTACTTAATCCTCCAGCAACACTGTAAGGAAGTAGTTCATATGGCATAGTGAGACATCATTGATATTCAAACTTTGATCGTATAACCAAAGCGTTTGTCACGATCTGTATGCGCGGGGGAAGGGAGTATCCAAATTTTTACTCTTATATTGTAACACTCCTTTTAGATCATATTTCATAAAAAAGATAAGTGTATAGAGTAAACACCCACAGAGAACTTTGCATTGTCAAATGAGCGTTTTTTACCTTTGCTTGTTGAATATCTTCGAAAAACGTCATGGTATACAGCTAAAAATTTTAGTCTAATGCCTCCACTATATTTGCAACATATTCTGAAAATTTCATGAAGTTTGAATATATTTGATGCAAGATCAATTTTTCAGAGAGGGGAACAGGGGAGCTCAACTGTCTGTTGTGTGCACAATGATAGAGTTTCTCTTTAGTATGACACTAATTTATGCGTTGCTATTTATTGTTCATATACAATGTAAGCTGTTTTTCTTTAATTTATTACTTTATTCTCTAAACATAAATATCTTCAGGTTTCATATTGTCCTTTACAAAAAAACATAGTTTGAGACAGGAGAAAAAAGAATATGTTCACTCATTGAACTATTTGCATACATAATGAAATATTTTGTATGATTTCTTGACTTACATAGAATGTCAATGGAACCAAACAGCTATTATTAGAATATGCTGCTGAGTACAAATATAATATCAATGTTCATTGTTGTCAAAATGATTGTTTAGTTTTTTATACGAATAAAAAAGAGTTGCAAAATTTGGTTTGATATATGTATGCAAAATGTGATGATACTAATTATGAAAAAATATCTGAAGACATTGAGTATAGAAAGAAACACATTCTTAGTTTATCTATCTATTGAATGTCATCCTATTGTTTCTTATCTTCATTGATTATGCGATGCAATGTTTCTATACGAACATTTGAATAATTTATGATATTCTTCGGTTACTGTAATAAAAATGAATAATACATATTTGCGACATTATATTACCACTAGTCTGATTTTTGTTTTATTACAAAATGAAGTCAAAACACTATTTTATCATTTGTTTTCTTAAAAACATGTTTTTTTTTAAAGTTCTAATTAGTTCTTATTCTAGCGCAATGAAAGACGTTATCTGTTAATTGTTTGACAAAGATTTTATTTCTTTTTATTAAATTTTTTAGTTCAACATTCATAATTAAAGAACTTATGAATGATGTTTCATCTCATTCGTTATAATTACATTCATGATATTTGTTTCCACTCATTATGATCAACTTTATACATACTACATCTTAAGTCTTGATAAAGAAATCTAAGAAGGAAAACAAAAAGCACTGGTTCGATTACATTTATAATTTCATTTCAATAAAAAAAATGTCAAGTAATTTAGAATCGGACATGCCTTCTGATCTTTTTTATATTATCAACTTTTCATGTGCAATTCTAGCTTCAATTATTGGTTTAATATTTAGTTTTACGTTTATAATAGTTATTATTACTAATCGACAATGTCACAATATGTCTAATTTACTTGCATGCAATTCTTCAGTTGCTGTTATCTTATATTTAATCTTGACTATTTTTGCATCTATATATGGTTTGCGTGAAGATTGGGCATGGAATGCACCATTGTGTATTTTTCGAGCGTATTCTATTGTGGTTGCATTAGGCACTGTTTGTTATTCATTTTCAATGCAATCTCTTAGTCGTTGGTTTTTTGTTATTCATTATAAATTAAGATATCTTCTTACATGGCGTACACATTCGATTATGATTATTTTCAATTGGCTTATTAGTTTATCAATCCCAATAGTACCTTTATTTATTGATGGAAGTCTTGGATTAGAAAAAGAATCACGTAGTTGTATAGTAAAAACTAATGCATTTGCAGCAGCAATATTTTCTATAATCATGGTCATTAGTATACCATTGAGTGTTAGTACTATGGTTTATTGTTCTATTTTATATCATACACGTCAATCAGCTCATCGAATTCTGCGTTTTAATCAAAATATGAATAAATATAAGACAATACATAATGTTAAACGTGAGGTGAAGCTTGTGCAACATATACTCATTCAAACTGCTTGTGCTTCATGTGGTGGAATTATATTTCTGATTAATGTTTTATGGCAAGCATTATCAGGAATACCTCTACCAAAACATATGTTTTTATTAGGAGTCAATTTAACAACAATAGGTGTTTCACTTATGACTATTTCACATTTTATGTTAAACACGCAAGTTAAAAATATTGCTTGTCGATACTCGTGTGATTGTTGTTAATTTAAGATTAATACACTACTATATCTATACAGAATTAATGCTTCATTGATATGATGATATTCATATTGTCTGATTTAGAAATATCTTTCGTTTATATCAAACCTTTTAAATTAATTTATTAGAATGATAAAAAAAAAAGAAGAATCTTTTTTCTAATTTTCTGGAGAAAACATGAAATGAAATATTTTTTGTTTAATTTTACAATAAAAAGAATAATTATTGATCTTGTTGAAAAACTATGAAGATATGTTCAATATATTCTATTGAAATTGATTTATCATTGATGTAAAATGGATTTACACTTCATGCTTTAATGAATCATCAGACGTAAAATAAATATTTATTAAAATAATCATTTTAAAATTTTTGAACAGTGAAAATTACTCTAAAAAGCATTATGAATTGTTATTATGTATATCTATATTAATACGTTTATGCATAACTGTGTATTCGCGAATAAATGATAACAACAAGCAGATTCTGTCTCCAATAGCACTTCAAAATTTCTCTAAAACCATTGCTAAAAGTATGTTCCACTAACTTTCGTAAACATCTTAATTTATATATGATTATTTTAACACAATACCTAGATATATATTCAGAATTACGTAGAATTTGGCAAAATTTTAAGTTAACGGAAACAGCATTGTATTTTTTTTGTCAATTCTGAAAACTTTATGATACATCATGATGTAGATGACTTTTGTGATAGAAAAATTAATAAAATTAGAGATTTTGTCTATATGTTATGATATTAAATTTATGTATATTTGAAAGACATTATTTAATCTGTATGTCTTTAATTGAAGAAAGAAAATGTTTGTCTATACCTACCTAATAGATTTCCTTTAGTTGTAATATTTTGTTATTTGGTATAGAGCGATTTCTTTATAAGTAATAATAATTATTAAATCTAATGAGGATCAACTGAGGCCAAATATTTAAAAAAAATATTTCTTTCAGGTTCTCGGCATTAGTCTGTCTCATGATAATTAACAGAGAATATTCGAAAGATTTTAATTCACTTTCAATCAATCAATAAAATATGTGATATAATCTGTTACCATTTTAGGATAAGAAAACATTGTGTTATGCGAATTGAATTATTCTCATTCATTCAATAGAGTGAAATTTTCTTCTTTCCTTAAAGCAAAATTTATATTTCGAGCATCAAAACAAACAGTAAAAATATGTGAAAAGAAATAAATATATTTCACGAGCGTTTGCATGCTATTCAAATTCACTTTTAATAAATCGATCGTTTTTTATCAAGATGACAAAAATTATTGAAATTCATTATTCATTTTTTTTCCTTGGGATTATTCCGTGGAGTTTCCATCATCTTTCTGGAAAGTTATTTTTTTTTAAACTTTAATGATTTAGTTTGATGTATTATTAGCAAAAACAGTTTGAGAGAATAAATTAAAATCTTCTCTTTAAGCGTGTAGATGCCGGTATGGATGTGGATACGGCTGTATTGAAGATTCATACGCACACCCATATTCACAGTAATTTTTTGTATCGATATTTTTTATGCGTTGAATGACTTGACGTTCTAATGATGAATGGCTTTTACAATGTCATCAATAGCTTCCTTCGTTCGCTTCTCCTTCACTTCTATGCTTCCCCGTTATCAGCCCATTGTTTTCGCTCTTCACCTGTTTGTCTTTCTCTTGAAGCTCGATTCACTCTGTATTTGCATTAGTATGCTTGCCAGCTAACGAATATTCTTTTTATCTGATTGTTAACTAAAGGTAAGCAGGCTGCTAACGAAAAGAATAATATCATAACAGTGAGGAACCTATGAGCTATCTCTTTTCTAGCCACATTTCTTTCTGTTTGCAAGACTTAGCATTCAGTTCTTTAATCATCTGCTACTCTCTGTATCATTTTTCATGTTAAATTTATGCTACTTCATTTTTGTCTTTCATAGTCACCTTGTTTACTCTTATTTCCATTTTTCTCTGCATGTCATTCTTTTTGCTAAGACTTCTTCATTTTGATTGTTTCTTTTCGTATTGAATGAAGATCAATCTCTTTACTTCTCTGAAAGTAAGCAGATCGGTGTAGGGAAGACATAACATCTACTATTCAAAAGTCTTTTTGATAGTTTATTGCTATCGATTGATTTAGACGGTACTTATTTCTCTTTTCAGGTTTGTCTTTATCCCTTAACTGCCCTTCACTTCACATTTCATACATATACTACACTTCTCTTTCATGACCGTTTTCCGCAACGTGCTCTTCTTTATCGCTTACATTTTTCGTTCACGTTCTGTGTTTATCTTGCATGATATACTTCACCATACTTTTTTTAACATGATCATCACTGAAAATCTCGGTTGTGACTGGCTTTAGTCGATTTCAAGAAATGTCGATTTCAAGAAATGTCGAGTTTGAGTAACTTTTCTGGTATTATATTTTGGATTTAGGGAAAATTTTGCATCCGATGACTTTGTCGGCTGCAGAATTTATAAGGAGCTATGTTTTTTTACAAAAACGAAAAAAATTGAGGTAAATTGTGATATCCGCCGTATGAAACTTGTTTCGGCACTTCTAACTGTGACATTTTTGATCAACATGGTTGATTGCATATTACTAAGGGATTCTAGAAAATCATTCAGAATGAAAAGTTTTCCATAGCTCTTTAGGAGATCATAAGCTCGAACAACTCGATCGAGCGATTGCTCGAAACGGACGAATGAGGGAAGGTTCATCAATGATCAAAAACTTTTTGGGCTCCTAATTTCTCCAATAGTAGGATGTGGCTAGACCAGAACAGCTTTCAAGAAGTTCGTGGTATCATTAAAAATTAACTGAGATAATAAAATTCTTATTGAACTCTTCTTGTAATTGTTAATTTTTCAATGGAATCATATTTTCGAATTTTGATCTGAAACTTTATTCTTATGAAGAAAGCCTCATTTAGTCTAGCTTGTGTATAAAGTTTTAACATGTTTGGGTATCACTTCTTCGAGATATGCATTTTTCAAGTATTGATCTTTCACGGTATGAATTGAAAAGCGTGTAAATTTTGAAACATGGAAATCTAGAAGCGATTTAATTTGAAAACTCTGAAATTTCTTACACAAGCTAGACTAAGTGAGCCTTTCATGTGTAAAAAGTTTTCATTTGAAATTTGAAAAGCTGATTCGATGGAAAAATCGAGAACTACTGGGAGAATTCAACAAATACTCAATCACGTCAGGCAAATTATAGACTTAATGATAGCATGATTCTTTTGGAGATTGTTCTGGTATGTCCGTCGATTAATGCTACGCAAAATATAAGCTCAAAAGCTTTTGATCATCTAGGAACCTTTCCTCGTAAGTAGTAGGATATGTTCATTGACCTACCACGACATCGTTTCAGCGCAGAAAAACCGAAAATTTTTTGCGGACTTAGAAAGGGTCTTATGCGGCCTTCTCTTGTTTTTGCGATCAATGATATTTTATCAGCCACAGTGGATGCTCTGCACATTTCAGAAGCAGTCTGTATGCGAACAAAATCGTGACTCGATACAAAAAGGATGATACTCTTTCTCTTCTATTACTAAGCTGTCTGTATTAAATCGAAACCATTTCATCACTGTCAACATAATCATTTTGTCAAAGTGTAGCGTTGTCCTCATCTACTACGATAAAATAAGTTTACTACAACTCTATCCAAATTTATTTTTCTCTCGCACGAAAGATAACGAATAAGTATGCAAATAGACAAGTTTCTGGATTCTTCTACGAGCAAAGCACAATGTGTTCGTCGCCTACTCTATAAAAGAACGTGCAAAGATAAAATACGCAACATTTTATTGTTTTTTACGTCCCAGTCGATGGTAGAAAAGAAGTAAATCTGCAAAGAAAAACATCGCACCACTTATATTCAAACTGCAGTAGTGTTACACAGGCTCGTTTTAATTTATTATTGGTATCAAAATATATACTATGAGCATGGGTGTTTTTTTAATATCTCTGCAACCAATGAAGCTAGCGATATGCTCCTTTCTAAACTCAAAAGAGAAGCGTGGTGAAAATATGCAAATTGGAAAAGCATTAGAATAAGATATGGTGAAGATATCTCGGGAAATCTAGACTTAAGTCAAAGGTCCGCACTCACACCGATGTGCAAATGAAATCAATGAAGAAATCCGGAGCATAAATACTAGCTTTTACGGAGATCACACATGTCCTAAGTAGTAGAAAGCAATAAAAGGGAAAAGTTCTAAAAATTTTAGCTAGTAAAGATAAATTCTTCATGGATATAATTCACCTTAAAAGCTTCAAAATGTCATGGAAAGGTTTCGAGTGCAAAATTTCGACTTTAGTTTGGGCTTCCAGAGACATTTTAGTCCTTTAGTATTGCGAACCTAATGATTTTAGCTCATTCCATACGTCTTAGGCATTTATTTTTCGAATACTGAAAATCACGGATCACGAGCTGCATCAGTTTGAGGTCTATTAAACAGATATTCAATTAAAAAGTCGTAGATTTTCCCTATATTTAAGAGCCGCGTATATTTCAAAGTTTAAGCTGAATTACAGTACTTCACAAAAGTCTTCGGCCCCCGGGATCTTTAGACCCATAAGGTTCCCATGCGCTGAAATTTTGCTGGAATGCATTTCTTGGTGCGCCCTGATTCTTCTACAGAAACTGGAATCCAAACGCATTTATAATATATGAGACCTACATATATATAAACCGGTTATCAGCGGTAATAAGAAAAGCTGACCTGATCGAATTTTACACTGTTACAAAATACATATGCTTAAAAAATTTAATATTTCCGGATAGAAATGAAGCTCAGATGATGCTGTTCTCATGATAAAATTCTCAAGTAACTCGCTTTCATACTATAACGGTGGATGGCCATGTCTTGAACAATATAAACAAGTTCACCAATTCTTCATCATTACAACATCATTGGCTGAAACTCGCAGAATACATATGTAGATTCAATGTAATATAAATGCGTTTGGACTCCAGTTTCTGCAGATAATCAGGAAGTACCCAGAAATGCATTTCTGCAAAATTTCAGCCAATGAGACTTTTATGGATCCAAAGATCCCTGGAGCCGAAGACTTTTGTGGAATACCGTATATAAGAAAATGGCTCACTTAATACCATATTGGAGCCAAAATGACTTGGTTCTAAAAAATTGTTGTTGATCCTGCGGATATAACTGACTGATAGTACCTCATTTGACATCCCAAAAATAGCGAAAGATGGATGCGCATTTGAAGTTTGAATTCAAAATTCACATTGAACTTTCTTTAAAAGTGTTCTTAGACCGAGATAGCCGCAATCACACTTAGTGCCTTTCATCGTCTTTTTTCGCTTCTCTATTCTATAGAATTTCGTCCACTTTTCGCGAACTATTAGTTTCAAAAGTGAAATCTAACATGAGATATGTGGTCGAGTATAGATTTAGCAGTTACTTTGACGAACTTATTATGTAATTTCGAAGGCTCGTACAACTGTTCCTACACAACATTCGTGCAGCGTCTCATGTGCCATATCATGCAGAGTGTGCATATTTATTGGTATTCACTCCGTTTCCTCTGATCAATTTATCTTTTGTGCACGAAGAAAACGCTTTTTATTATCATGTCTGTCTACTATATACCTATGACTAATATCTCCATCGTCCGTCTCGTATCTAGCTCATTAGTGATTTCAGTACCATTGAAAAATTGTCGAATAAAAAGCTTCATATGAATGTTCGATTTTCCACATGCTCCAAAGGTAGGCCGATGTAGTAGTGGACATTTCTTTTCGGGTACAGTAAATAAATGAATTCTGGGACCAGCTACACAAGCTTTCTGGACGACATGTCGAAACTTCTCGAAGAAGTCGTTAGACTAAGAAACGCACAAAAAGTTGCCGCATGTATTCAAGACGTTTTTGAGTTTTAAGTCACTTGTTCAAGTTACTGTGAACTTTGCCAGCTAAGAAAGTTCTAGGACTTACTTACCGAAAGCTGGTTGGAGCATCTCAAAAAATAAAAGCGTCATAGGATGCGGAAAATTATTCTATTGGATATAGAATATGACGCTGACTACGAATACGAACACCTTGTACGCCTCCATCCGTTATTTTAGAAATTTTCGACAATTCAATCCTTTGGCTTTAAGTACTTAAATAAGTGCTCTTGAGTCAGAGTTATGTTTTCTTTCAATAAAATTCCAATAAGGAGCAGCTGGTTTTTCCTGTTTTTGTATTTCACCAGTGTTTTGCTACAAGCTGTTATAAGAGGTGGATGCGAAGTTTTTCTGTATGTTATTTTTTTACATAACAGTTTATTCAATAACTTATTAAGAAAGTTGTTAGGGATGTTTTCATTTCAATCTGAGAAGGCCAATACTTGACTTGAGGTAATGGCAAGACCAATGCTGTAAATCGATCGATCAACCTGATAGTATTGTTGTAAAATACAGCAATGATGTGTTTTACACGACAAGGTCTAGCCGGAATAGGAAAATTCTAGCTTTTCGTTGTCCGAACATCGAAACGCAAATGATCTAATAATTATCATGTTCTCTAGACTGTCCGCTGCTTGAACACTGATCATTATGAAATATTATTGAATTGGACGTGCGTATTGAAGTTAATCGAGAAAAGAGAGCAAGAACAATCGAGAGATGTTGGCAATTATGTGAGCACGACAATGAAAGCAGAAAACAAAGAAAGAGAAACAAACAAAAATATTGATTCAGCTATATCGGTTACAAGCGAGCAGCATAGTTGTACGAGTGTTATCAAGTCGAGTATTGACAACTGCATGGCGAACAATGTATCTTTATCGACGAATTCCAATAACCATTTTCCATCGATGTCGACAACGTCAAATAGTCAATCGAATAGCTCGATTCAGACGGCTCATACTGTTGCATCCGCGAATACATTTAGGACACCGCCGACTAATGCAACAGCGAGGAAAAAGTCACTTGTAGGCGATCCTGAAACACTTCATTTCTATTCAACAAATTCATTAAACTATCGACCATTGACGAATCCAATACAATCGAGACCTAGTCGTGTTCGTGAACGAGGACCATCGTATCCTTCTCTTTCACTTAATCGTTCGTCGTCATCTTCATCACGGTTTCGTAAAACTCATTATTTGGATGATTCTGATGAAGAAATTGTCCAAGAAGAAATTCTCGAAGTAACCAATTTTAATCGTTATCCGACATTGATGGAACGTTGGGGTCCAGATACGAAGACGAAGATTCGACAAGAAGGTGACTTGAAAATCGAAGAAGTGGTCGAGTTCGAAGAACTTGAACCGACTATTGCCGAAGAAATCGTCTATGAATTAACCTATGCGAATGAACATCTTCTGTCGTGTCGACAAATCAGTCGATCTCGATCGGAATCGAGAAATTTTCGAAAAATTCGTAAGAAAAGAATCAAACGTAAACTACAAGACGTCGATAACTCGACTTCCATGATCACCTCTAACTATGGTAGAACATCAGGAACGAGCTCACCTGATGTCAGTGGTTCACGATCGTCTTTTGACTATGAGCACAGCTGTACTTCTGAACAATCGACCACGCCAAGACAAACATCATCTTTTGCTTCGAACTTGGAGTCGACCGAGTTTTTATCGAGTAGCGCCTGGTCTCCGACAAGACACAATGATAAGACTCCATTGAATATTCATCAAATAGATCAATCCGCGACTGGTCTTAATCAGGAAGAAAACTTTATCAGTGACATACGCACGAATGAATCGGATGCGTCGTATTCACAGACACCTGCTCCATATTGGTCGTCAGCGATTGAGTCGAATAAGATTCAATATCAAGCATCGGACTATGAAGAAAGTGATCAAGCACCATCGAATTTATTCAATGAAATACGTGATTTTTTCAATCGAATCAATTCGATGACTATCGGTAGCCCTTCCGAGACATCATCCGGCGAAGACAATGTCACACTGAGCGAAACAGATACAACAACGCCTCCGAATAGTGAGAAAACTGATTCCACAACGAGTACACTCCATCAATCGTCGCTTGAGTCGGAATCAAATGAGATAATTGATGAGTTTGTCCACAAACTTGTATCGAATATTTTACATGATCAATCAATTAGCAAACTTCTGACGATGGGCACTGACAAGGTTGCTGAGGAGAAATTGGAAATCTCTCCTGATCGAACAACTGTCGACATCACAAGCGCTCGTAAGTCAACAATTACAATGTCTTGATGATCTTGTAGTATTCGACACTGTTTCCTTTGCAGACGAACATCCAGCATCAGATAATGTTTCTACTATTCATAGCACTGTTGGTGAGCCCAATAAGGAGTCGAGAAAAGAATCATCAAGTGTTGACGAAGAGCAGATAGTCGAGTGTACAAGTTTACTTGAACTGGGCGAGCTTCGACGGCATATCGACGAATTGAATCGCAATATCAATGCGTTTGACCAACAAGACAGGTGTACTAATCGACTTGTGGAGACCAGTGACGAGCAAATACGCTCTGATCTGAATCAAGTGGACATGCAGCCGCACGAATGCCTCACGCCTATTGACCAGTCCCGTGCAAAGCAAATAGATATTGAGCGAAGTAAATTATTCATTTTTCAAACGGTCAACGGTCAAATCAATCGACAACCATCAGAAGAAGCTTTCGAAAATGAGTCAACAGCATCACCGAAACCTTATGAACCATCAACTGAAGTTTGTGCAATCAAACTCGAACAACCGGCTTTAGTAGCAAGCAAACAAACTATACTCATGCCCAGCATACAGGCGGAAGATACTGGTCGAATTCAACTAACGAAATCTTCTGAAGAGACGCCACGATTGATTACAGACACCATAAACCAGAATCTCACCAGCGCTTCAGCGATATCAGTCATGAATACGGAGCAGCAGGAGAAATTTGACGTGAACGATGAAGAAATAACTCTGACCACTATCCAACAACCGTTATCATCGCCCAACGATAGAACACATCAAGACCATCAGCCGTTCGAGAGAGAATCTGCCCTATTTACGCTAGAAACAATCACGATGTCTGCTACACCTGATCTGAATACTTCATGCAAGACGCCTGCCACTATAACACCGAATTTACATAGTCAAGTTCTTCTGACACCCGAACAAGAACAGAAAAATGATAACGAAATGTTTCAAGAGTTTCCCTATTGTAAGCAAATATCGAAAAATCACTCAACCTCTTTCGATGCATCATTTTCATTGCCTTCGACCGATGCAGATCGAATTTTATTATTGAGCACTGCCGACCAAGAAGTCCAGCCTGTTTACTCGCAACCATCCACCTCATTAGCCCAACCCGAAAAATATGTAGAACCACTCCAACTAATCGATCGAGAGGATCGGTCGCAAAACACAGTGTTGACAGTCGGAGCGACCACTCAAGATGAACAAGAAAACCTATCCATCACAGCACAATTCACTACATCGTCGCCAACTCCTGTTTACGAATCGACCAAGGTATCGGATCTTGCAGAGAGTATGGAAACTGTAGAGCCATCGGCCGTCGTCATCACCCTAATGAGACGATTAATTTCAATGATAGAAGGCGACGAATCTGGAGTCGTACATCTTCATAGACCTCAACAATTGGACATTGCGTCAGAAAAAATATTCCCAACTACGAGGTCATCTTTCAGTACCGATACTTTTCAGGAATCATGCGATCGGCAAACAGCACAAACGGAAATATTGAAAACAAACAGATCAGAGATCATTACATCAGATGTTCCATCATCAACTGAGTTCGGTGTTTCTGTTGAATCTCAGCTTCATGTCGACGATGATTCTTCAACACAGTCCAGAGAGTGGGAGCTGACCTGTGCGAGAGAATTCGTCGAAAAACCATCTGAATTCTTGACTTTTACATCGAACATACCAGACAGTCCTTCCCTGCCCACTTCCAACTCTAGATGCAGCGAAATTAACGAGAGAAACTCGATGCTACAAAATGCAGATGAAAGATCAATATCTGAGGAAAAGATCGAGTCAAACGATGAAAACAGAGTGCCATTACTAGACAAGCTCGATGCCCATCAAGATGAAAACCAAGAACTACCTAAATCCAACAGCGAGACTAACGATGCAAACAAACATAGACGAATAACAATGCAGAGTGAGAATACTTCGAACGCAATTGATGACACAAACGAGCCACAAGCCTCTGAAAGCGCCGATAATACAAAACAAGAACAAACCACGTTATCATCTACGACTGATATCGTTCCGTTGAACACATCGACAGAAATATCTAGTTTAAAAGAATCAATGACACAGCTCAAAGATACGACCAGCTTGGGAACTCTTGCAGAAGAAAAATTGCCAGTATCTGTCAAAAGCAATAATTGTGTCATGATAACAGATATCAACAACGGCAGTTTACGTGCATCTCAGTAGGAACTTTTTACTATGTCGAATTTACTTTTCACTATTGCATATTTTTGCAGAGGATTTCCATCAACGAGCGCTTCCGTAGAAGCTTCGTTTTCATCGGAAAATACTGAAATATACGATCATTACTCGACTCCACCGAATGAAATAGAAGATGTCAGCCATGTGGAACCAGATCCTGGGCATCGACAGAAATACTCAAAACTTCGAATTGACAAAAGGAAGTTGACCGATCCGAATTCTACTGCCAAGGAACAAGACGCTATCTACATTATTGATCGATTGGACCGTGATCAACAAGACAAAACTTCAGGGCGGCAACGACTCAAAGAAGACAGTGAAGATTCCAGCAACATAAGCAGTCGACTGGGTTTATGTTTACCAGATGAAATGCAACAGCAGGTTGAATCTGACAAAAAAGATCCATTATTGATCAATATTTCCTTGGCAGCAAGCACTACGTTGACGTCCTTGCCCGTCTTCACCAACGCGGACACTTTGGAGCGTGAAAGTAGCAAAGTATTGCAACAGCAGAGCAGCATTGAAGAGCGAACCTCGTCGGAATCAGTCTCACTTGATTCCGCTGAAACTTTAGATATTGGTAGTTCAATTACGACGGCATCATCACCGAGCGGTACATCTGTAGGAATTAAATCAGAGAGTTCGTTCACGAAAGACGAAACGAATAGAGAGCCGTCGATGCCCGCATTCATCGATATACCGCCGGTCGAAAACGAAAGTGGACAGTCGTTTTTCACCTCCGTTCGCAATCGATTCGGCGGATTCATTTACAGTTTCATTGAACCCCTTACCTCCGGCCTCAAAACTTCGAAACAGACCGTTGAAAATCAAAACACGGGCGAAAACATCGAAGCAATAACTCAACATCAGTTCAATACGTATAACAACAACAAACAACAAGCACTGCAGTTGAATCTTAAAGCAAACAATGGTAAAATACCACTATTAGCAAAGCAATCTACATCAACCGAAAAATCCGACGACGATCAAAGTTCCGATAGTGACTATACTCCGGTCATGCGAAGTATAATCATTCGACCGGCCGACAATGAATATGACAACGACGAAGGAGATACTAGAGGTTCTCCGATCACCAGCACACCCTTGACTCCACATCTAACCACTAACGAACTCGCCCAGTAGCCTATGCTATTGTTTTTACTCATTTGTGGTGAATGCAGAATTCGATTCGTCATCGAATAACAGTATTTTCACCCACTATGATTCGACAGAAATGAGAGTATACTCGAAAAAATAGTTGTTTGAGTTTTTTTTTCAACTGTATTTTCAGTCTGAATTTGTCCTGTGAATTCAACTTGATTTTAATTAGTTTTCATCGTAGAATTTGACTTTTCTCTTTGTTTGACTGTTTTTAGCTTCTCCCATTATACGAAACATAGGATTTTACGATGAAAATCAGGTGTTTGAAAGAGGCTTTTATTAGATTTCTTATTCGGATTCGCCCAATGGCTTTTGATATTGTTTTAATTTGTTCTACTTACCACAATATACAATGTTGTATTGAATATTCATGTTTTCAGGTTCTTCTATTGGGTAAGAAAGTGATAGTTGACGATGAACACAAGCTTCCTTATCGATTGACAAGGAGTACCTCACCTTGAATAGCGATATAATTAGTTCAGGAAATGATTGAAATTATCAGTTTTATCAATGTGTCACTTCAGATAAAACGACATTAAGATCGCACAAAAGCTTTCAAATCAGCAAATTATCAAAGAAAAACCATTCAGCAGCAACAGTACTTGATTTAACTCATAATGATGTTATTCTTACGGAAGAAAAATATTTTTCACTTCGTTCTTGAACATAGCCTTGATTTCCAGTGATAGGAATCATTTCAAAAGGTGTTTAACTTTCAAGTCTGGTTTTGAGATATCTTTAATTATGCGAATTCATAAGAGAAGGTTAACTTTGTTTTTAGCTTCTATCGATCAGTCTATCATACTTTACATCAAATACCAACACTATTTATTCTCCTATGTTGGTAAAATGAGCTGTGGAAAGAATCAATAGCCGACCTGTAAAAGGTTTCATCAAAAGAAACTCGGTCAATTTTTATGATCTTTGGAAATAAGTTCGAATAAATGTGATTAGATAGCTGCGTCGATCGAAAGCTTGAACTCGGCCAAGAAGATCAGGTATTCGTTATCGAAAATTTAAATGATCCTGTGTGTAGACACCACACGAGACATCGACAGCCGTTTTAGACTCATCGGCACACAGGTTTCGACGAATGACGAGAAATATCCATCTAATTCGAACTGATCGCACAACACTATTGATAAACGGCCGAGCTTCAATAAATTTTGATACAATTTGAATTTGTAAATACGAATAACTTTGACGAAGTTTAACTATGATTGTTGAATTACTTTGTTCGTAGTCTATTCAGAACAGCATCGGTTTCTCGTGAAAAAAGACACCAAGTTTTGTTGATAGCCATGCTGGCATAGCGGAGGAAAATGTTACACTAGGTGGAAGAACTGATTTGATTATTTGACTATTATGATTTGATGATGAGCATGGATATGAATCGAGTGAATTCGCATTACCTAAGATAAAAAGTCATATTGACAGACAATCATATCACAAATTCGAAAAAAACATTGCTCTCACAAGATTAATTGTTGTTAGTACTATTTAATGAAGCCGGCTACTTATGATTAGGAACAGCGTCACTTTGAGAATGCAATACTCGGCAACCAGCATTTCATTGTGTTTCTTCATTGTCACCAATAAATTCATAGAAATTGTAGACCATATCGGTGGTATT